TAATGAGAACGTTATCACAGATACCGAAATCGAGCCAGTAGGTACAATTGTAGAATCAGTGGGCAGGGCTATCAACTACCATCCTGCCGTCTTGCTACCAAAGTTTCCGTTGTCTGGGTATTGCGCGAAATCCTACCATGTAATGGTTATGGGGAGCCTCTAGCGAGATAGGCATTAATTTAAAAATAAACAGGTGTTTCGTGCCACTGACGACTTCTTCGTAAATTTTGAAGTGTTATGAAGAGCTGCGGGAGGACAAAATGACAGTTCGACCGTCGATTCTGACAATGTCCCCCGGGTGCTCACAGCAGGTTGAGAGCGGCATGGTTACTTGTATATGAATTGCTTCGGGGTTGCAGGAGACTTGCACAGCACCTACCGCACTCTCCCGCCCCCCGCCTGGACCCGGTGTCAAGAGATAGTCAAGAAAACCAGAGGCGGGAGAGGGCGTAGGTGGCTGGCGCGGCCGAACACACACCTAGGCGTGCCATCATACCCCCTGGTTCACAACAATCAGCCAGGATTTTTTACGCTAAGAAAAGAAAAGATGGGGAAAAGAAGATTGGAACACACAATAAGTGACCTATCTCATGAAATGTTGGCTGAAATTCTGAAATGCGTTTTCAATTAGGAATGATTACTTGGTTGCGGTTGTAATAACGATTACCTTAAGGCATACTCTTATAACATTTCGGACTCAGCAGGATGTTAGCTTTTGAACACACTGCTTTTCAATCTTCTGCAGAAAGCGTGTTTGGTAAAAAATGACTACTTAAGTAGCATTCATTTTTCCCATTGATTTTCGAGGGTCTTGGAAATGTAAATATATTTTATAGAAACCATAAACAAAAATATACTTTCTGTTAGTCGATCAATAGAGAATCACTTCTTCTTAATATTTTATACTTAAGAAAGGAGTATAATTAGGTTTTAAAAAAGTTTTCTTATTGCCAAATAATTTGGAGCCTGATCATTCGTTGCATTAGCGCTTAGTGATTTCTGTCTATAAAGTGCATGCGTTTCGCGTAAATAAAATCACATATTTTTCTATGCCGTTAAAGATATATTATACAGAGTCCATAAACTTTTGCAGTGGATGCGGACCATGTTGTACATTTCATGAGGAGCAGTGGTAAACTGCCAGGTACGATGCTATGTGAATGGACATTTCGCAGTCTTAAAAAGTCGCATAATTATAAACTTTTTTAAAACCTAATTATACTCCTTTCTTAAGTATAAAATATAAAGAAGACGTAATTCTCTATTGACTGAGTAAAATAAAGCGTATTTTTGTTATTGGTTTTTATAAAATATATTTGAATTTCCAAGACCATCGAAAATCAATGGGGAAAATGCATGGTAATTAAGCAGTCGTTTGTTACCAAGCACGCTTTCTACAGGAGATTGACAAGAAGTGCATGTAAAAGCGGACATCCTGCCGAGTCGAAAATGTTATACGAGTTCGCCAAAAGATAATCAATATTACAACCCTGACCAAGTAATCCTTCCTAATCAAAAACGCATTTCAGAATTTCAGTCAATCTTTCGTGAGATCGGTCACTCACTGTAAATTAACACGGCAAGAGACTCCAACTGGGCCCGAACCAGCAACCCTGGCCCACAGCAGACACTGAGCAGAATTCAAACTCCAACAAAAAGGGCGACGTCCTGCCACACTCAGCTCGAATCGCACGGAATGGGAGTGCCATAGAGACCGCATTATGAAGGCGCAATTGCACGCTGACTCTCAGACTACCAGTCCGCCACTTCATGTAAACGTATTAACAGTGCGTGACCGATCACATGAAATTTTAGCAGAAATTCTGAAATGCGTTTTCAATAAGGAAAAATCACTTGAGTGGATTTGTAATACTGATTATCTTAAGGCATAATCCTATAATATTTCAGTCTCGGTAGGATGTCGACCTTTGAATGTACTTTTTTCAACCTCCAGTAGAAACTGTACTCGGTAAAGAATGACTACTTAAGTGGCATGTATTTTTCACACTGACTTTGATGGTTTTTAAATCAGAATATATTTCATAAAGAACACGGATAAAAAATACATTCTTTTACTCATTTGGTAGAAAAGTATGCCCTGTTTATTTTGTATACTTAAAGAAGGAGTATAATGTGGTTTTAAGAAGTTTCTAATTGTGAGATTTTTAAGACCGGACAATGTCCACTCAAACAGCACCGTACCTTTACGTTTACCACTGCTCCTCACGAAATGTACGACATAGTCCGCATCCACTGCCAAATTTTATGGACTCTATATGGTAGCTTTATAAAGACATAGAAGAATATACGATTTTCCATACACAGAAAGCATACACCTTGTAGACTGAAATCACTAAGTGCTGATGCAGCAGCAAATCGGGCCCAAAATTATTCGGGAATCAGAAAACTTTTTTAAAATCTCATTATACTCCTTCTTTAAGTATACAATATAAGCAGGACATACTTTTCTACCAAAAGAGTAAAAGAATGTATTTTTTATCCGTGTTCTTTATGAAATAAATTCTGATTTATAAAACCATCAAAAATCAGTGTGAAGAATACATGCCTCTTAAGTAGTCATTCGTTACCGAGTACAGTTTCTACAGGAGATTGAAAAAAATACAGTCAAAAGCCGACATCCTATCGAGGCTGAAATATTATAGGATTATGCCGTAAACTAATCAGCATTACAAATCCACTCAATTACTTCTTCCTAATCGAAGACACATTTCAGAATTTCGGCTAAAATTTCATGAGATCGGTCATGCACTGTACTGGGGCGACTGCTAGGTTCAAGTTAGCCGTCAGCTGACATAATTCCAGGCCACGTCAGAAAAAGCCACTGACTAACCATGCACACGACCTGTATATCCAGTGAGGGCGCGAGCGATCTACCGGAAGGGAGCGCAGTGCCAAAGAACCGCCAACTCACACGAGGCTGTCAGAGTCAGGGTTTACTGAAGCATGATAGAGCCTACGCACACAATCCTTGAAGCGCAAAGGGGTGAGACCCAGCCCAGAATTTACCCTAGGCCCTCACTCTTCAATGCCGGGTAACCAGTCAATCATCGATTGAGAAGCGCTACCCATATACACACACGCACACTCTTCACATGAGTTGTTAAGAGCTGCGAAAAACAAGGCAAGCGTGAGTTGGCACACGCATTACAGGCTCCGAGCATTTCTTCTGTCTTTGTTTCTTTATCAAATTTCTATAATTAACTGGCACTGTCTGGGAGGCCTTCATGGATGACGTCGACATCGTGGAGTACTAACTTACACTGGAGTTATATTCGCTCCTAGTCGGCCGAATCTTCTTCTTTGCAGAATTAGTGCCTCGAAAGCAGAAGCTAACGAGTATTCTGATGAAACGAAGTCAGTTTTTCAGTGCTGTCTGTTGGGCCACTATAGGTTATATTCCTACCAGATGCATTCTTACCGCCTCGACCCCAAATGCCCTTCATCTTTCTTAAGCATTGACTTTCTGAAGCGGTCTTTGCAGTTGGTCGTTTTGCAAAATATGGACGTCTTTTCAGCTAGCAACGTTAAGCCCGTTTTTGCTTGTCTGCCTTTTCATGTATTTGTATGATAGCTGTAAACGTGATTCAAGCTCGACAGATTAAAAGCAGAGGATCGTTGGGAGTGGAATGGGTGTATATTTGAAATTGGCGAAGCCTGCATCCCCAAGTGCTGACGCCTGCTTAGGATGGATAGCATGTTTAGATGGAATAGGAAGCTATGTAGCATGTCCATTAATAAAAAATACTGTGCCTTTAGCAAATGAGACATCGAGTAAGGGTTAGTTGGGGGTCATTTCGAAGGTGTCCATCATTGTTTGCATTCATTCCAGACGATAGCTGAAAAAAAAAGCAAGAAACACCGCCTTCTTCGTCTTCTGATACATTTGAGGCATTTTATGGTTGAGCTAAGTAAACAACGGAAGCAACCGTGGCAGATATAGTTTTTTCGTGATCCAGGTTGCAAAAGGAAGTAACAGGAGCCATTGACATCCTATTCTCAATGTGACTGCAAACCCCAATATTGGGGCTTCGGTTCTTCAGTGACCCAGTGAGAAGTTGTCAAAGTACTGGGGTAGACATATTCTAAGTAGGAAACATAAATATTTGGCCTCGTACAAGTCGCAAGCATAAATGGACTACGAGTCATTTCACGCGGTCCTTGTCTTTGTCGATATTACCATTCTGCCTATATATCGTGCGCCGCTGTGCGGCTCCTGGTTGGGCTCGAGAGAGAGCCCTTATGGTACAACGGAGCGAGTGAGTTCCGTATTAACGATCGGTGAGCGCCCCCTATTATTGTATATTCCCGATCGCAAACCGACAGGGCAACGGACTCGTGGCCCAGTAAGTAGAGGCGTGGACTTCTAAACCAACAGGTCGCGAGTCCGAGGCTAGGGTGTTCCACACTTCGGACTTGGGTATGGCTGGCTGACGACGGCTTATAAGCCAGAAATGGCCATTCCAGTCTCCCTTGTCTTTGTCGGTAATACCATTCTGCCTATATATATTTACATATGGAATGGACACACACAAATCCACTAGCTTCCTCAGGCAAACAAGCTCCGTATGGATGGAAAAGTTTACGAGCAGGCAACCAACTGCAGACCGAAGTCGACCAAGCTTATATTAGCAGCGAGGAGGGATGACAGATAGTGCGGGTAGATAAATATATGCTTGTGCGGTCATGCTAACTGTGTCGTTGAGGTGGTCATGGTTGACTCGCAGGAACCTCCAGACAAAAATTTTTCTAATACTAATGCCTAATTTAGTAGCCTCGAGAGTAGTAAATAACTCTGAGTCGTTGCCTGTGTTTAAGGAAAGGGATTTGTCTTTAAGTGAGCTTATCTGTACTTTCAACGACAGGTTAGTGTGCGGTTAGGCCAGACATGACTGCTATAATGGAATTGTAAAATTTACAAACCTCATCATTATTGTGCCTATTCAAGACAAAACATTTTCATAAAAACTGCAGCACTTACGTCACTTCCGTCCCTTTGGCGCTTCAAACGTTATAATAACCTTCCTCGGGATTATTGATGAACCTAAAATAGCAGCCAAATACGGGACAACATCAAAATAAATCGCTTAAATAATCTATCTTGATAATCATAATCTCCACCGATTTTAATAAGCTACTATCAACCTGAAGTTTCCCGCCTGCCCACTCACCAGTGGTCCTGTCAGCGGAACGGTGCTTTGATTTGTTCCTTGAACACTTTGAACCTGCAGGAGAAAAAGGCTTGCATGACACGATGGGTTCGGTACCAGTTAATAACCAGCTAAACCATGATGGTATTAGCGAAGTGAAATAAATGAGTAGAACATCCTAATGTGTGAGGTCCGGTCGGGACTTAAGTGGGCATCGTTTACACGCTTTACATCCCAGTCGTGTTGGCGTTGTGCTTTTTTGTCTCGCATATTTCTATCCACTGTCTGTCGTTTATTTTTCAGTCATAAGCTGGATGCATAGCATTATGCAGTCAACGAGGACAGTGCGGATTGTCATTGGCTAGTTCTGACCGGCACTGAGCAGCTACAGGCTGGACAGATCCAAACTTCCGATGTACAATCCCCCAGGTTTGGAGCCGGCGCCGAAAAATTAGAAATGATCATTTCAGTCACCTCTTGTCTTTTGCAGCACCTGCTTCCCGCAGAATGTTTTTGTCAGTCAAGATTAGTGTCGATGACAAGCAACAAACCTAATCTCAGCCTCGTTTTGGACCTGTCCAGCTGACAGTGTCAATTCGCACTTGGAGCGCTGCGACTACCGCATTTGGATGGCTTTGACTGTGCATTATTACACGTACTGTATAGCATACGAAATCCATTTCGGTCTGGCTCTAAACAGTTCCCGGCCAAATGTCGTTTTGTAGCCCCACCTGACGTAAACAAACCCCAGCCACCGATAATACGGGATCAGTGGTAATAGGGGGTTTTTACAAGTGGGGCCGTGGAACGCACGGCCGACGTGACCAAGTAGTTGTATGCAAAAGTTTGACCAGCTAAAGACATTTTGCCTATTCACGCCACATCAAACTGTATTTATGAGTTTACATGTAATTGCGGACGCAAGTACATTGGGCGCACGCAAAGGCAGTTGGCAGCTCGGTCAACTGAACACATGCCGAAATGGCTGCTTAAGGCGGAAAATATGGTACCCAGGAGCTCAGTCACAAAGCACCTAGTGGACACGGGTCATACGGTGGACCAATTGGTTGCAATCACGGTCCAGTTTCAGGTGACAACCGGACGCGTCTGGCGCTTTGCAGAGGCCGCTGCAATACGAAGGAGGAAACCAGAATTCTGAAAGCAGTTGGACCACATGATAAACCTGGCACTACCATGGTAAGGATCGATTATGGACGAAACCCTGTTCTCATATACGCCCTTTCATTTCGCCCCGCCTCCTACCGCTCCCCGTTGCACCCTAAATCACGCCGGACAAGTTCTCACTGTAGTCCTAACCCTCATACTTGGATGACTTCTCTCCCCCTCCCCCCTCGCCATATGCACCCGCATACTAGATCCATGTTTCAGGTGAACTTTCACGCTTTATCTCTCTAGGTCGGTCGTTGATTTAACAGTTTGTCTTGTCATATGCAATGGCCGTACGCAGCTGAATGAGAGGTCTCGAAATTTATGACGTCAGTAAGTCCTGCATGCTTTGTCGCGTTTGCCTTATTCAAAAGGAAAACTGTTGGTAGTGCGCGGTTGTACTTTGAGTATTTGGGAATTAGTTGTTCTAACCCCTAACCCAAACTCCAAAGGCTAACCCCTAACTCTAACTCCTAAAGCTTACCCCAACAGTATTGTGTCCTTCAGGTGGGGCTACATAAACACACCTTACTCAGTTCCCTTTCTAGCATAGGTGGCCGTGGTTTTGTAGAACGACAGAGCCCTGAATCTGAAGTGGTTACTCATTCCCAAGCTTCTCATTGAAGGCCCAAACTACTGCTTCAGGCATTTCAGAATGGAAGAAGGTACGTTATTTTGTGTTTAAATGGGAAGCTGACTACTTACGCCCACTCTCGTCGTCGGAGCTGGAGGAGGAGGAATCGCTGTCACCGCAGGAGCCTCTCTTTGCTGCGTGTCGAAAGAATAGGGGAATCAGGAAGCACATTTGGCTCATTTTCAATCCAAGGCAACCAAATAACTCCTGGAAACTTACAGTGCCTGCCTTTGGATGCTTTCTTCTTTCGATGCTTGTGCTTCTTGTGGCACTCCTCGTCAGAAGAGGATTCGCTGGAGGATTCCGAGGAATCTGACGGAACAAAGCTCACTGACTTGTGTCGACGCGCTGAAATGGGACATAGGAGTTCATTTAGGTTCTGCAGCATGGCCACTAACGCAGGCGTGATACAGAATGAGGACATAGCCTGGTAATTTGGTTAGGCAGTAGTTCAATGACTCACCGCATCCTGATGTAGAAACTTTTCTGCTTGTACCTCTTTTCTTATTCTTCTTGCTTCCACGATCATCACTTCCACTATCAGCATCATCATCATCATCGGACGAACTTTCGCTCGAGGAGTCGCGACCTTCGTGCGTTTGGTTTTAAAATAAGTCGTTAGGGAAAAGTATTTAAGCAATCAAGACTTTACAAATGAATGAAGTGATTTAATGGAAGATATTTATGTGTGGAGATGGGATACTATCAAGGACAAGTGAGACTGGCATGACTATTTCTGCCTTATTAGTCATTATCAGCCAGATATGCCCAACGTACATGACCTTTTACCAAGGCTTCCCATGAAATGAGCAACACAGTCCGAATCCATTGCAAAATTTTATAAATTATGTAAGATATGTTTTCAAAGACATAAAGGAATGTATGATTTTCCTTACGCGGAAAGCATGCACCTTGTAAGCTTACATCGTCAAACGCTAATGCAATGGAAGATCTGGCTCAAAATTGATCGGGAATTGGAAAACTTTTTTAAACCCAAGTATAGACTTTCTTCAGGCATAGAATATGAAGACAATGTGATTTCCTGCCGAACGGGTAAAAGAAGGCATATTTTATGCGCGTTTTCTATAAAATATATTTGAATTTGTAGGAACATCGAAAATCAATACGCAAAATGCATGCTACTGAAGTAGTGCTTTTTTTGATCGCGGTTTCTGCCGGTCAGAAAGGAGTACATCCAAAAGTCATTTTTACTTTGGATTTTTGAATTCATGAGATGTCTCATCATGATTAACTTTGAAACTGCCAAATTTTCCCAGGACCTCTAATTTCAAAGCATAGTGGTGAGCAAAAGAGGCCACTGAACGCTGTTTTTAGCACCTGCGCCATTCAAGTTCACATCACCTGATGCTTGGCTAAAGTATGAAGCCAGCTGTAGAGGAGACCTTATTTAATAATATCATTGTAAAATGACAGTAAATGTACTTAAATTTACCGTCTCTCGTCGATCGCAACACTTTCTTCGTTACTTTAAACTCTGTCGCTGAAACAAAGAGAAGATTTTTAATTGAATGACTGCTAACCTCAGTTCTAAAACTACTTTTTCTCAACTCAGTAAACAGAGGGCTTAATTGTCTTGCTTTCATAATTTTAGATGCCTGATTGACTCAGACTTTAAATTAAGCCATGCGAATATCCATTAGGATGAGCATGCTCAGTAAACGGAAGTAAAGCTAAATAAAACAACTTACGTTGGTCGGTGCTGAGATCTATTTAAATAGACGACGAAAAAATTACTTACAATTACCGAAAAAATTTTGTTAAAGGTTATTTCAAACAGAATTTTGCCCTTAAAAATCACGATTGTTCCGAGTGGGTTTAAGCGATTTTTTAAAATTCTTCCTCAGATATAATTAATGTACAAACTCATTATGTTAGCCAACACATGGAATCTCTACAAGACATCAAAAGTTGCATAAACAAAGCAATCTCAGATTGCCATCTTTAAAATTAGAAATTTAACGAGAAATTGCGGTTTTCAGTTGCAGCGTCGGTTTGCGACAACAGGTCTCATTTTTTCTTCTCATCATACTTTCACGTTTTTTTACCCAATCCGCGCAACGTATAGACCTGAAATCCACGTACATAACCCAAAGACCTCGTTTTGATTTGACGCAGAATAGCACAACGCCGTCCCAGTTTGACGGACGAAAGGTTATCGGTTTCAATATGGACATTACCAGCGCTGTTTATCTATGATACAAAAATTATTCTCCGTGTATAATTACTAACTGCAGGAAAAAATGACTTCTGTATTCAAAGTCCTCCACAAAGCAAGATGCATACTTACAGTAGGTGGGCTAACTCATGAAATGTCAACGGAAATTCCTAAATGTGTTTTCGTTTCGAAAATATTCAGTAAGTAAGTTTGTAAAACTTATCAGCCTGCAGTATAATTCTATAATAATTCAGTTAACTCATGATGCTGGCTTTCGGAAGAACTTTCTTCCGACTGCATGCTAAAACTATACTCTGCAAAAAATGACTATTTAATTACCATGCATTTGTCTCTTTGAGTTTCGATGACCCTAAGAAACCAATTATATTTAATAGAAAACATACATAAAATTATTCATTCTTTTGCTTACTCGCTAGAAAATTACGTGTTCTAATTTTTTACTCACAGGAAAGACATTATTCTGCTGTAAAAAGTTTTCTAATTGTGAGACTTTTAAATACCGTTAAATGGCCGTTCACAAGACGTCAGTCTCTGCATTTACCAATATGGCTTCTGAGGTTACCAATATGGATCAAATCCACTGTTAAATTTAATGAATCCTATATGGTTTCCCTTTAGTACCCTAGAGAAATGTGTGGTTTTCCGTAGGCGGAAAATATACGGATTGTAGTTTCGAAACCTTAAATGCAAGTGTGATGGTTGAGCTGTTCAAATTTATTCGGGAATTAGAAAGGGTTTTGAAAACCAAATTCTACCATTCCTTCGAGTATAAGTTTAGAAGAAGCCATGATTGTCTACCGAATGAGCGGAAGAGTAAATATTTTTATGCCTGTTTTCCATGAAAAGTAATTGGACGTTTAGGAGCATCGGAAATCCAGGAGAAAAATGCATGCTAATTAAGTAGTCATTTTATACAAAGTATAGTTTTAGCATGCACTCGGAAGAACGTTCTTCCAAAAGCCAGCATCATGAGATAACAGAATTATTAGAAAATCATACTGCAGACCGATTAGTTTTACTAGCCAACATACTTAAACTTTTCGAAACGAAAACGCATTTCGGAATTTCGGTTGGCATTTCATGAGTTAGCCCAACTGATGTACATTGCCCTCGGATTGCACTTGAGGTCTACTCAACACAGCAGCAATTCAATCGTCCCCAGTCATTCTACACACAACCTAACCGGATTGGTCTTCGTAATTTCGACCACCTCCATAGAAACATGGCGTATGCGATGCCTTTAGGCCTCTTTAAGTACCTCTGGACTACCCTCCAAAACTCCTACCTACAGTTCGTCGATGGTGACTCTTTATACTCTACGCCGGCGCACGTTTTATGGCCATTTCACGTGGTCGTTATATTACCTGTCACCGACGAGGACTGAGATTATACTGGCCAGTTTTTGGAGGAAATTTACATTTTTTACATTTTTACAACCGGAGCTGCGGAAATGACATTAGCATTCAAAGGCGCAGGGAACTGTTAGCTCCATTTATGGGCAACTGGCAGTTGCTTTCTGCAGCATATTTTGTGTGTACGTCAGGACGTCAGTTTTAGAAGTTCCCTTGTTCCTTCTGTCATCCGCATTCAGTGAAAGTGCAATGTGTGTCATCATGTGGTCAACTAGTTCCTCCCTGTTGAAAATCTGCTGTCCACACCGATAGGTTATAAAGTACGCATTTTCGGTCGAGAAAATTCACGAGGCCCATGTGCGACGCATGGGTTTTCAGCACATAGCTTTAAGCGTACTGGTCGCTGCAATGTTTTGAATGCCTTTTCTACGCGGACAAATATAATTACTTACAGTAGACGTTCTTATGATGTAGTTTCAGCTTTCCGTCGGCGTCACAAAGGACAATTCTTGCAATGGCTCCCGAAGGGGAGGAATCTGATTCAGATGAATCGGATGAATCTAGACATTTCAAAGGTTGGCATATGAAAAACTTTGGGTGCAAATCTTTTACTTCCTAAAATATCGGCAAATTGTTACGTGCAGTCGCAATGACCAGAAATTGTTCGTTGTGACTTTTGACAAACAGCAGGAAAAAGCAATACAGTCGCCACCACTTTTAGCTTGCTAAATGTATCAGTTCATCCATATCGGCAAGGTTATTTTCATTTTAGTCGTCTCCATGGCCAGAGATATTTTCATTCCTTTGTGTTAATTAAGCGGCCCAATGTGAATTTTTTTACAGTTTCTTATGAAGCGTCGGCTAATTTCAAATAATTTTTGTGCAAAACAGGCGCAGTATTGTAGACAAAAACCGGCGCTGCAAGCAACCGGTAAAATGGGCACAGTTGTCATTTTAAGTAGTAGCCCACCGTCCTGTTCGGTTCAGATTCCCAAAATATTTTTCTGTAGTTGTGAATAGAAGTGTTTATAAGTTGATGACTTAAATTAGGATTGACAAGAAATTACAGCATGATAGCATTATTTCATTTTTGGAAGTAAGCGATTTAGTTAGTAGTGATTTTGAAGTCCTGAAAGCGATTTTTATTGAATAGTCTTCTTTATGTATTACTTATTCCCAAGGAAGAACAGGATAACGTCCTCTAAAAATTACCCTGTTTTCATTTTAAATCTGAGCATCTAATTAACCCAGCCTATGAGACAAGCCGTGATCTATACTTCTTTTCATTAGGGAAATGAAGCAAGATCGTCCAAGTAGATACATAAATCAAATCAGACTTTTGTCTTCCAGACCCTGTAAACCAGGTGACCAACTCCTTTAGATTGCAGATTAGATCAAAATTTTGACGAATTGTTCACTGTGTGAACTATTTTTACTCTTTTGATTAACACGACTCAAAGCATGCACATACTGAAAGCAAAAGGCATTTAATACTGGCGGAATATATTGCAGGATACTTAATTCTCGGGTTTCATGAACCTTCAAACAATATCGATTTTTAACTAAGACGGGGAAGAATCGTGCCGATTAGTCAAAAATTATAATGTAAAAATTGGCGGAGAGGAAGAATGGAAATTTAAAAATTTCGAAAGTGATTTCGAACTGAGAAGTCTTCTAGAGATATCTCTTTACGCCTATTCAGTATAAAAGTAAAAATGCTTGGAAATTTAATTCCCTCCAGCATGGTTAGAAGTCCAATGACTCATTGTACTGTACTCTTCCCGTTTCGATCGGGTATATACAATAATCGGATGGCGCTTTTCAATCGCGCTACGGAACTCACTCGACCCCTTGTGTCTTAAGGCTCTCTCTCGAGCCCGCCAGTAGCCGCACTGCGGCACGTAATATAGGCAGAAAGGCATTACCGATAAAAACAAGGGAGACTGGAATGCCCATTTCTGGCTCATTAGCCAATCGGCTGGCGCCCTTCGACCGCTGTATATACCCGATCTGAACTGACAGGGACACGAGCCCGTGGCTCAGAAGTTAGGGGCATTGGGCTTCTAGTCATTAAGTCGCAGAATCGGGTCCCAGATGTTCCATACTTCGGGTTTGGAAAGGACTAACTGGCGACGGTTAATAAGCCAAAAATTATCATTCCAGTTTCCCTTGTCCTTGTCAGTGATGCCATTCTGCCTATATTACGCGCCGCTGTGTGTCTGCTGTCGGGGCTCGAGGGAGAGCCCCAAGGCACAGCCGTACGAGGGAGTTCCGTAGTGTGATCGGTGAGCTCCCTTCTACCGTGATTACCTGGACTGGCTTTGTGCCGCCCGCGTAACATGTACGACCTAACTTTACTTTACCTCGAAAGCCTCATGATCTTCTCCAGAACGCTTTATTTCGCACTTATCTTCACGGGGATTGTATCATTTCATTACGCGTGGCCCTTTTATTACTCTCAGTCAATTTACTCTGCCTTTATTTTAATAAATCAAAGCATCGCTTGTGGATATGGGTTAAATCATCTCACTGAACTTTACATAAACAACACCTATAATACAAGAATGTAATCCTGCACGAAATACTGTGCTAATAGGGGCTCAAGTCATAAATGAGACCTCACCATTTTGCTGTCTTCGGCGCGATTTGTCTCCTAAAACAGAAAAAAATATGATGTTTAAGTCCTTGAGTTGCCAACGAACTTCCACAATGCTTGTCCGTTTCTCGACATTCTGTCCTGCTGCCAATGCTTTTTGAACTACACCAACCAATTAGACCTTGGAAAGTCACTAAAAAGACGTTTCCTCACATATCTAACCAACCTAAGGCCTTTAGCCAAGTTTTACTGGCAACCAAACAAACGTGTGTCATCTCCATGAGAATTTCGCTACAAGAAACAAACTGCGGTTTCAATGCTTTACCACCTTTTGTCGTTTGAGAAGGCGTCATTCCCATACGCCACTTTGTCGGTCAAAGCAAATCAGATAAATGTGAGCGAAAATTATAAAAAATGAGGGATAAATACTGATCGCGTTCCGAGCACTGACAAAATAATCCTCTAGTCATTGAGGTCGCTTTCAGGACAGGTAATTCACAGAAAAGTCTGTCAAGGGCTGCGGTGATACCACTAGCACATCGACCGTTTTTTCAGTAATTTTCTGCTAAGGAAGATAAAAAAACCTCAGTTCGGTGAAGAACACCAGAAAATTGTTATTTCAGAACTAATTAAGTGAATTAAATTTTTAACGAAAGTGTCACCATCATATCCGCCGTGACTCATGCCGTCAGTCCGAAAAACGCACACTCATTTCCTCTGAAAGACAGCATCTCATGATATCCTTCGAATTACATTTAATTTCATTAGCCCGGGCTTTTTGGAGGTTTCTTGTTCACGAACCCTCATTTTGGACCCGAATAACAAAAGTTTAGCAAAACTGCTGACACCAGCGTACTAATGGAAGAGCACGCCGTCTTCTATCCATTCAACGTGTGCGCGTGAGCATTTTAGAAAGTGTGCCATCACCGTTCAATGGCAGAGTCAAAACTAACACGTTATGCGGAAAAACGCCGATGGGGGAGATGATGCATGTATGGTGCCACAGAGTCGATATCATTCATGGAAAATATAAGTTTGCACTTTTACCCCGAGTATCATCTCTAGTATTACTTGCACTAAATAAAAGAAGTAGAGCAGTAAACTGGCGAGAAGTCGCAAAAATCTAAAGTTTTAGCCTTCTCGTCTGTTAGTTAGTCCGTTAAAAGCTTACCGGCAATCAATTGCCAACTACCATCGACGGTAAGTAGCACGTCAGCGTTTTAAAATCAGCCGCATAATTTGGAAAAAATGGTATATTAATATGGGCAGTAAGCGAATTCCCCTAGGGAATGCAATTATTTAAAGAGAGAACCAAGCGATCTTTGAGTAAACTACGGTTTCTAGGCCGTTGCCGTTTAAGCACTTATCTGAACCTAGGTTCATGTGAACCTAGTCAGAAGTTGCCGTTATGAAATTTCCGCATCCTCCTCCAGACCCCTTGCTAATTATGGCATAAAAAAGTCGTTTCAAGCGACTCTATTAGTTTTCATCTGTTGAATCTGCGTGCGCTCAGTCGTAAGTACATTTAAACAAAATATCAAAATTACGGAATTTTTACCACAATTTCCAGCCTTATGGGTATGTTTGTATGCGCACTTCACGGACCTTTTAAACAACGTAAAAGCAGAATTTTACTATGTATGGTTTCCCTTCAATTTTCTCCACCACAGTCGGTAGTATTTTGATTTAGGACTAAAACTGACTCCGCACATGTCTACTAAACGGCCTCTTTAGGTCAAACTTTAGGCCAATCTATCTCTTGAATTTGAAGGGCTGTCTTTGCTAAAAAGAAGATACTAAGTTGTTGTCCTGTAAAGGAAATGGAATGGGAGTGTGCCTTACAATGAGGAGTATTTGAACAAACACTTTGCTGTACGAAAACAAACGACACACCACCAATAGAAACAAAGAGACAAGTCCCACAAAGCAGTAACGAAGAAGGAGACACGATCGCTGGGACAACAGCTTTATTCACCTGACGTTTCGGATTCCCGCTCGAACCCATCATCAGAGACAATAGAAGATACGGGCGGTTCATCCACAAGGGGCTGCAGTATTTATAGGATGCAGTCGCCATGCTACCACATATTTTTAACAATTCACGGCTTCCCCCATTCATCAAGGATTACTGCACCTGGTGTAACGGTCGATCTGGCTCAGTTGCGGACAAAGCAACTACGTCGGAAAAAGTGGAAGACTGCTTCGAACACGAATAACTAAACACGCTGCAGCGGTGCGAAGAAATGACGCCAGCACTCAAGTTGCGGCTCATTCGACGAGATCCGACCACACATTCAAATTCGACGAGACCAAAATTCTCGTTAGGTGTGACAATCGCGTAAGCCGCGAGCTGCTTGAGCCATGCTTCACTGGCTCCCAGTCCATTAACAAGTGCAACAACCTTCCCCTTCCATAGTCGGTGCTGAGATTTCGCCTAGGTGGAGTAATTAGCCACGCGGGGAGCGCACAGGTGAACACTATCCCCATCGCCAGGATCGGTGGGTCAGATGATCGAGCACTCATCACACCAACATCTAACGCACGTGTTAAAATTGCAGCAATTAACGACGCGAATGTCGGCCATCAAACAGTTAACGCCCCAAGTGAAACGACCCCTGGTGACGGTAGAGCTCAGGACCAAACAACCACACCGGACTTAAGAAGGCCGCACGGAGATAGCCCGACGCTGAGTTTACTCGGTGAGGAAGAAGAAGAACCGCCAGACCAACCGCCCGACTAAAGTCCAATCAGTTCCCCTCGACGGAGTGGTGACTCACAAAGCACACAGGCAAAACGCCCGTCAACCATCTCCCGAGAGGCCGAGGCAGCGAGAGGAGGGAAAAATCGATCAGCATGAGGCCGGCCGACACAACTGCCACTGTAAATTAAATTTCTGATCAACTAAGTGCATTTTACGCTTTGAAAATGAAGAGCCGACCCAGCTCTTTGAAACGTCAGCACTTAAATAAATCTCTTCCGGAGAGCCTGGCTTCGTCTTCAAATAATCAACCCGGATATCTCAACTTTGCCAATCTGAAGGGAGGAGCCGTCAATATTCATGCGTATGTGGTAGCGTGGCGACAGCATCCTACACATACTGCAGCTCCTTGTGCATGAGCGAGCCGTATTGGCTATTGTCTCTGATGATGGCTTCGAGCAGGAATCCGACACGTCAGGCGAATAAAGCTCGTCTCCAGCGATCATGTCTCCTTCTTCGCAAAAAAGCACCTCTTTTCCAAATTACACGGTCACGGCTGCCTCAAAGACTGAGATGAAAGGTAGCCCCGACCAACAGACGGTGGGAACAGCGGCAGGCAGCGGACTGCAAAAACGTCCGGAGAGGACCGGCGACACATTCTGTAGTACTGTGTAGAGCACGCAGAGAGCGCTGTCAGATCTAGGGCATGCTGCTTTTCCACTGGATTTTCTTGGGCAAGACCACGTTGCCTTTCCATTCCAAAGTGTTGCGCCATTTCTAGCAGCGTAGTCGCTTGCACTATATGGCCCTACTCTTCGTGTACGTGCGCAACTTTGGAGGCTTGGGTTCGGATTAATGATGCTTAAAACTGAATCTGGTGTGATTTTTAGCGCAAGCACTGTATAATCTTCAGTTTAAACTCACAAGTCTAAGGGAGGCTAAACAGGCAATAGTATAATAATTTTTTTCGGATCAAAGGCGTACGCCTGACTAGCCCTGTTAAAAGAGTCTCTGACTCATTCTGTTTTCTTCCTCCTTGCCTGAATCTTTGTGTGTTAACTGTGCGTTCGCCTTCATAACAAAAATAACTGACAGGTCTGCATTGCTGTAGGCGAGTAAAAATTTTCATGGGGAATTTCAATAACTCTCCTGCCCTTTCTCAGCTCATTGTTCCGGGCTTCATCAGGTTCTAAGTATTACTATGCACTGCAATCTGGAATAACCAGGCGCACCTACTCGGTCGAATGCTCGCAATAGTAAATAGCTAAGTAATACTTCATGCATTTGTACCGGCCTTTGGTTGCCAAGTTCTGATAGAGGATCTTTAATCACGATGACAAAAACTGCGCCGCAACTTTAAGTCTTCCAATGTGCCAGAACGGTACAAAAAGAATAACGATTACAGGTGATTATTTTGAAGTCGTCTTCCTCGTCGACCTTCGAGGACCCCGATGTTGACAGCTAATACGGACTTACCCTACACCTGTGGCATTTATTGTCATTTTCAACTCTGTCGGAAGTCATTGCCGAACAAATGCACATGTACTCAGCAGTAAAAGCCTCAGGGAAGACTAGTGCAGACTGCGGAATTTAAGCTGATTTTACATACCGTAAATTCGCTAAATGTTCCAGTTAAGAGACAGCACGTGTTGACTTTCGTTCGTGATCTAGGTTAAACTTCCAACCTGAGAAAGTGACCTGTTTCTTTGTCGGCCTAAAGATGGAGAAACGGTCTTCTTCATAAGTCATGTAGTCGGGGTCTCCATGTGACTCAGGGAAGGGATGTTGGCGTCGTTCCTGTTTTCTTATCAGTGGGGAACTCTGTGGAATTTAGGGGCACTGATGAGCTTTTCAGCGTGGCCTGCGAGAGTATTTTCGTAAGCAACCATCCTTTCTGTCTCATCAGTATCTCTGGGGAATGACTACTGTCTGGCCATTCCCAGTTGACTAAGCTGTTGGCATGGCTAAGTGATATGCTTTGCTGTACCAGGTTTTGCTGTAAACTTCGGATGTTCAAATCGTATTCGCCTAGATCACAGTTGGTAGCCAGGAATGAGAATCGGACGGCGAACTTAACTCTAATCCTAACCACAACCCTAACCTTAACCTCAACCTTAAACGTTAACCGTAACGGCATCACTAACCCTAACCCTAGCCGAACTCGTAAACGTAACCGTAGCCCTTAAACATAGCCGTAACTGAGAAGCCTAACCGTAATACTGAAACTCATTCGTAGGCTCAAACCCTAACCGTAACCCGAAAACCTAAGCCTAAGGCATAACTCTAACCTGAAAATCGGAATCCCTCAACCGGTACCCTAATCCTAACCTCAACCGTAAAACGGAAGCCAAATGGGACAGATCTGATTATGGAGCCCCACAAAATAACCCCACTAAACAAACCCTCTGCCACCTGTAATACGGGTCCTGGCTACCAACTGCGACCTGGCCTCGTATTCCTTCTGGTCCCAATCTGAGGCGATTCGGGCATAATCAACAAAGTATTTCTCCATCTATTGCACCTGCATATTGGGACACCGCCTCCCCCCCCCATCCCTCCTTTTATAGTATCCGTCAGATGTGGGGAACAACCAGTACAAGCCCTAGTAGATACAGGCGCCTATATACCTCTTGTGAATACCTCTGGCTTCATCCGTGAGTAATGAGAGCAAGAAGCACGCACAAACTCCTCACAGTAGTCCACGAGTGGCGAAAAGAACCTCAATGCCCATTTTAGGTCGAGTCACCCTGCAGCCTTTCCCCATGAATACAACGGTTGTCTACCCCTTTTCGTAACAGTGGCTAGCACATTGAATGTCGCCCTAGGGCCAGACTCCATAGCGGCGGGTCAGCGTAGGTGATCAGTGTGAACCATGGAACATCATGCACACCACATCGTCGTACTCGCACGCCTAGACCTGCCTTATATACGCTCGCTGTCATGAACGTATGACCAAATCTAAATAAATAAATTATAGATGATTTGGCAGATTTCTGAATAATTAACATTGACCCAACTGTGAACAACTCGGCGCCTCGGTGGGATTAGAACCCACGCAGTAAGGGGAAGGCTATAAAACAGCCAACGCTCTAACCAATTGAGCTACGAGGCCACGCCGGACGACGCGAGTTAAATCACATTTTGGTCAAGTTCCCCGCCCAACCTACTGTAACGTCTGGAACCCACCTTATCTTATACAGCGGCAGGACCTCGTAGCTCAAGTGGTTGGAGCGTTGGCTGTACTAAAGCCTTCCCCTTACTGCGTGGGTTCGAATCCCATTGAGGCGCCGGTTTTTTCACAGTTGGGTCAATATGAAATAAATTCTAACCAAAGTTGTATACATCCGACCTTGAAGTTTTTGTGGAGTTAGCGTAGCGGAGAAGAATTCGGAAAGTAAAATGCATTTTGTCTGTGCGACACTAAGGAAACTCAAAGACCTTTGAGTTGCATTGCGAATGTTTCGTCTTCTCAGTCCACCAGTCGCTTGAAACAAAAAGTCATGAAAGCTGACAGCACCATGCGTGAGGTTAATCAACCTTTTCTGAATAATTCATATTGACCCAACTGTGAAAAACTCGGCGCCTCAGTGGGATTCGAACCCACGCAGTAAGGGGGAAGGCTTTAGTACGGCCAACGCTCTAGCCACCTGAGCTACGAGGCCCCGCCGGACGACGCGAGTTTATTATTCAAAATCTGCCAAAATATCAATGAATTACGTCAGCCTAGCAGTCATCTGGTGGATTCTAGGTGAATTATTTAGGAAATCCTGCTTGGGCAGTCAGCTTACTGTATCAGATTTGATGGCTTCCAGACGTTGCTGTAGGTTGGGCGACTAATTTGGCCCAAGTGTGATAAAACTCGCGTCGTCTGACGGGGCCTCGTAGCTCAAGTGGTTAGAACGTTGGCTGTACTAAAGCCTTCCCCTTTACTGCGTGGGTTCGAATCCCACCGAGGCGCCGAGTTTTCACAATTGGATCAATATGAGTTAGGCAACCACTAAACACTTCGTTCCGAACTGTGAAATAGGCAAGCAGTCGCTAAAACCTACTGCAGTCCAAAATGATACCCTAAAGTTACTATGATATACCATTAAATACCTTCTTAATATATGTTATGCTGAAAACACTAAACAGGTAGGTTATGGTTTCATCAGCAAAATAGATTTAGATCTTTCCTGAACTACTCCCTGTTTTGTCTGCATAAAAAATTCCGCAAGACAGCCCAGTAACAAAAGCTGTATTCATTTTAGCTTCAAAAATGTACTTTTTCAGAGTTGCTTACTTGAGCTGCGTGTCATTGTGGCCTCAAAGATGTTACACCCGTCTCAACCCGGGTCCTGGGCTGAGCCATGTATATTCATTGTTCCACCTGATCTGGTTGGTGGAAACTTCAGTACTGTGAGCCCGTAGCTTGCTCTTATCCGACCCTCACCGCCCCCGGCGCCTCAAAACTGTCTATTGCATGACGGCAAATTGAGTTACACATCCCTCCTTCCCCCCCTCCGTCTGGAAGGCACACGGCAGTAAGGTATTGTGATTCCGGGGGGGGGGAGCGCAAAAGAGTGGCATTTAATCTAGTTACTGTCAGGCAAAAGTCAAAAATGGCGTGAGAATATCTGCGCAGTGACGGTTAAGTCAACCTGTTCTCCCTCTAGCAAGCAAAAGTTGACCACCCTATTAATAAGACAGTAGAAGAGCCCAAAATATGTAGACCGCAGTCGCTGGAAGTGGAACAAACTGGATACTGGGGGAGGGAGGCGCTTCTGTGTGATGTAGGGGAAGAATGGCACTTTATCCTTTTCGTAAACGGCAATATTGGCCAGGTTATTCCTAAAAATGCAGCCATCGGAAGGACTACTGCACCGAAACTGCAACAGACAGTTCTTTGCGAAGAGAACGAGTAACGCACTGTTTGAGAGGCTGATCCACAGGTATTTCCTCAAGTTTAGACACAACGCGCGTATTGGTAGGGGGGCGCTCACAGGACACGATTTTGGGCAGCCGCGCGGGGGTTAGTAGTATATACCTACCGACAAAGACAAGGGAGACTGGAGTGGCCATTTCTGGCTTGTTAGCCGTCATCAGTCAACCTCTGTTTATATATCCAATGCCCCTACCCACTGAGTCACCGGCTCAAATCGCGGGATCGAGTTTCAGGAGTTGCGCAAATCTGAGGATTTTTTATGGCCTGATGTTGACGGTTAACAAGCCAGATATATCTATTCTGGTCTCCCTTCTCTTTGTCTGTTATGTTATTCCGCTTCTATTATTTTGAAATAAACTCACTCGGATATTTTATCGCGCTACTAGTTTCCGTGAAAATGTCGCAGCAGGAGGTGCAGAGGTTGCATAGAACTTGTGATTTTAATGATGTTAACACCTGACCTGACATGACAGGCTACCAAAATGCTGAGAAACACGTTTAATGTCGGGTCTCCTGCCTAGTGAACTGTTACGCCTACACCCACCGACTGTGCGATTGTTCGATATTTCATAATTTGCTCTCTGGGTGGCAGTCCTTAGGACATTAAAAACTAACCTTCCAGAGCGCAGACATTTACCATAACAGTAGGGAATTGGCACGGCCTGGAAATTATCGCCTGAAAGGGTGGGAAGAATAGCAACGAAGGTTACCACACAGACATCCTGTGTAATCGCACTTTGTGGTTTGTTCACTTTTAAATATTCCCATGGTTTTTATTTCCCTTTTTTTAAAACTCATTGTGCAAAATGCTTGATTGCCATCACTGCCTCCGCGTAGCGCTGATAAGAAATCACCAGCTAAATTCCTTGTTTTGGCCCTATATAGGAATTTCCGCGAGCAGATATGCTAAGCAATTGTTGGTCTCCATCTGTCGACAACACTTTGGTTTACTCCATTATGCTCGAGTTAATTGTTCGGGGAAGCAATTGTGCTAAAATAAAATAACTGTCGATGTTAATTTGTACGTGCCAGAGAAAGAAATAAAAAGACCGCGCAGTGGCTGTTGCGTAAAGGTGGTCAAGAGGATTTAGGGTGGTCACTAGGGTGAAAATACAACAATGTACTATCATTTGACAATGTCCGTAAAAAGGGCAGTGTATCCATTTATTCATATCATTAAATGATAAAAAATTGCGTCCCCTTTTGATCGGTGACAATATGGAGGATTGACATTTGTGACATCACAAAGTTGTTAAATGTTAAACTTTTGCCTTGACTCAGCAAGCCATGGTCCTTGCAGCCTGGTGTGCGCTGCCAGTTCTCTGGTACCTGGTTCACTGCCGGTAAATGCGCTGGATAAACCGGTCGTGAGCATGGTTTTCCAGTCAGCCATGTCCTTCTGACCCGTTGTTGTATTGTTGTTGGTTGAAATCCCGACCAACTGTTTGTTCCGGATCTCTCCGGACCTCCGCGACCTCTCCCGCCCCTTATTTCTTGACAGCGGGTCCAGGCAGGTAAGGAGAAGGGAGTGCGGTAGATGCCGTGCAAGTCCAATAAATAATTCACGCGCAAGTCACCGTGGCTACCCTCACTTTGTTGTGGAGCACACAGTAGACGTCGTTGTCATCGATGGTTGAACTGTTGTACTCGGCTGACCTCGCATCTTAAACCGCCGGACCTCTTTATCCTACGGTACAGATATCCGGAAGCTCTAACTCATTCGGCAACAGCAGGTCTGTTGTAGTTCTCAGTTAGTCCTGCTCGGTTACGGTACCCATTTGCACTTCCACCGTGACGAGGTTTAATTTTGTTACTCTCATAACTCGAAAGGGCATAAGGTTCCGTTTCGGGAAGTTAGTATCATAAATTTGCCCTTGATATTGCACCTCCGTGTTGTCCAACGACAGCTAAGGGGGAATTCTGAACTTCCCGCTCAGAGCCAGCAAAAGAAAGAAGCTTCTACGTATGTGGAGGCACGATAACCATGACAGCCCTTCTAGGTGATTTTTAAGTATAGCGCCGTAACCGTTCTATAAAAACAGTTTTCTCTTTAGAATTTTCAAACTGAAGTTTCGGCTGTGAGTCCTCTGTCCGAGTCGTGAGAGCGAATCCCACATTCCTGACCAAACTTCTATTTAATGCGCGCCAAATAATCCTCAATAAGCATTGCCTGATCAACAACTCTTGTTGTCACTAGACGGATAAATCTATCTGGGTATCCGTTCTCCCGAAGTGTGCTCCACAGCTGTTGGAGTTCTTTTTCAATAGCTTCAATGTGGCAGATGCGTCTCACTCTAGCCGCCAATCCCTGGACTAAATTCCGTTTGATGCTTAGGGGAACAAAACTGTGGAAACTAACGTATTGTCCCGTCCAGGTTTTCTTTCGGAACACCCTGTGCTGGACAGACCCATCCTCTTGCCTGTGCAGAAGGACATCGAGAAAGGCAAGTTCGTTATCTGCCTCGGTCTCTGCAGTGAATTCTAGCGAGGGGTGCGCACTGTTGAACTTTTGGACAAGCTCCTCGGTATCGGTGGTACCATCCGCCAGGCAGAAGATATCGTCCACGTACCGACCGTAGAAGACGAGGCCATTATTGGTGTCTTGCAATCGTGTTTTCTCGACTTTGCCCATGAAAACATTTGCAAGAAACGTTCAAAGCGGTGATCCCATTGCCACACAATCTACCTTCCTGTATAGTTGACCATTTCACAGAAACTGAACATTTTGTGTGCAGAGCGTCAGTAGTTCTTCTAGCGTTTTGACAGGCATGTCTATGGGGTAGTTCGTATCACGAATGACATCACAAAGATAGCTTATCGATTTTGACACGGGTACGTTGGTAAACAGCGATGATACATCCAGTGATAACATCCTACGTCCGCCAACGTTCATATTTTTGATAGCTTCGACGAACTCATATGAGTCTTTTAAACTTCGAGGGCACAGATAACTTTGTAATGGCTTTAGCCTTTTCACTAGCCACTTTGTAACGGTATGATAGGGCGAGTTCCTCATATTCAAAATTGGAAGTAGAGGCAGCCCTTGTTTGTGAATTTTAGAAAGGCCGTACAATCTTGATATTGTCGAGCCCACCGGTCTCAATCGTTCATACACTTTGCTAGACAAATAATCTTTATTACAGAGGTCTTTGAGAATAGTCATCAACATTTGATATTAAATAATCACAAGAAGACAATTTTTACGCGTTTTGTACAAAATGTGCTTGAATTTATAGGTGCACAAAATCTAATGGAAGAATATATATTATTTACGCAGTCATCTTTACCGAGTGCGATTATTGCAGGCGACAGAAAGGAAGCACACTCGAAAGCCAGCAACTAGGCGTGCCCGTAATATCATGGGATCATACAGTGTGCTAGTCAAAGTTACTCCCCCCCTTAAGTTATCCTTTCTGATCGGAAACGCATATCAGAATTTGGACTAACATTTCATGAGATCGATGCGACTTCCGGTATATACTCCATTTTCCTAGTTTAAGATTGTCTAATTAATTATTGTGATAGCCTGAGGTTTTAACTGGAAAATAGTCCGAAAAAGCAAGTGTTTGTCAGAAAGATCAATAATTCCCTGTTTTATACCGATGACTGTCCGTTGAACACTTGCGAATATTACGTAATTAGGCCGTTTAAATTGGTGAACTTTAGCTTTCGGAGCGAGCCTCGGGGGGGGGGTTGTCCAGAAGGATTTGCTTTCGACTTGTTGCTCTGATTTATGAGGCAATTATAAAAGCTGAAATTTAACAACATGCGGAACCCTGCGATTTACGGCTAAGACGATTATCCGGCAGCATTGACAGAAAAATCGATGCGATACGTGTTTCGCTCTCTAGGTAGTACTTGTACTGGCAGTATGATGATGAATCATGCAATAGTTGTATATTCTAGCCTGCTTCTTGTCATCCTGTAAATATGATGTGGCTATGCTGCAGTAGCCGCTGGGATTACAGCTCAATTTTCCAAATGACTTTCGGGACGAGTCAGGAAAACGTTGCGTAGATGACTTTGCTCGGAGGTAGAGCAGTGCTTTTGGATACATTAAAAACTAAAAGTTTGGCGACCGAAGTGTATACCAGGAAGCACATGACAGCCCTGGGGAGGCTAGCTGAGGAAATTAAAAAACTGAAGAAAGTGACCTGTTGCCCAGTGCGTTCATCACTTCGCTCTGCTCAAGATGCATTGTACGTGCCTTTTGTGTGCAACCAACGTGCACTCTTTGTCCCGATTTCGTTTCAACCCTCCTGTACAAAGTAAACTCTTTCCATTTGTGTTTCCTACGTCTCTGCCTTGTCTAGACCGGGTTCAAGGATTGCGATGGTTCTGGTGCGCCTACTCTCTAGGCAGCCACAATCTCTCATCACAGCGTTTCTCACCTCACATACGCCATAAGATGTACTGTCTCGTGAATGCTTAACCGAAATTCTGAAATGTTTTTTTCGATCTGAAATAATAACTTAAGTACAGTTGTGATGCTGTGATCATGCGGCAGACCCCCTAGTTAATTCAGTCATAACAGGATGCCGGCTATCGAACGAGCCTCTTTTCGGCTGCCTATAAAAACCGTGCTCTATAAAAAATCATTACTAATGCAGTATACATGTTTCTCATTGATGTTCGATGCCCTTATAAGCTCAAGTATATTTTGTAGAAATCATACGCAGGAATACTTTTTATTTATTTTGTAGTAAGTTTTGTCTTCCTTAGATTTATTATCTGTTGGAGGACTTTAATTACGTTTTTGAAAATTTTTTGAATTCCCGAATACTTTTGAACTCCACCTGCCGTTACCCCCGAGTTGAAAAGTTCCAAACGATAAGCTGCGTATTTTCTGTGTAAGAAGAATTAAATATTGTATGACCTATTTGGAAGATATGATTAGAGTTCATAAACTGTTACAATGGATTTGAACCATATTTAATAGTTTAAAAACAACACTGATTGATGTAGTGATCCGGTGTTTTCTGAATGACCAAAGCACGGTTTTAAAAATCTTACAGCTAGAACTTTCTTAAACCCGAAGGTATTACTTCGTCAAACAAGACGTTTACAGAACACACAATATACTGCCAAATGAGCACACAAAATAATATTTTTGTGTATGTGTTCTATGAAATAAATTCTGATTTATCAAGGTATTTAAAATCAATGCAATGAATGCCTACTGCGTGCGCAGTTACTTCTTTCAGAATACAGTTTTAGCAGGCTGCTAGAAAGGAGTTCGTTCTAAAGCCCACATCTTGCATTGATGGGGATTATGCCGCACGGTTATTAACATTACACCCCTCTGCAGGTAATCTTTTAAAGTCGAAAACACATTTTAGAATTCCGCGTAACAATCGAGAGATTGCACCCAAAATTCCGCCTAACCAAAGCAGCCTGTCTTACGGAACTGGTGGTAATAAGGGTTTTATGGGTGGTGGCTAGTCGGGATGTACGATACTAGCCGACGGAAAGCGTTGTTTGAACAGATGAATGATCGAAGTTGGCCCGCTCTCCGCTCCATTATTACAAAATGGGTCGCCAAATGCAGTATAGTGGTAACGGACGAGTGGACGGCGTATAATCGTCCTCCCCTAGAAGGTTATCTACATTTCTCTGTTAACCACTTACAGAACTTCGAGGACCCTACCACCGGACGGCACACCAATGCCTTTGAGGCATACTGGAGTAGACTGAAAAGGAAACTCCACGAGGGAGGCCCTGTATGTGGTCCAGCTGTGTGGGCTCACATAGACGAAGTACAGTATCGTCTTTGGTTTGGCCTCAATGCCAAGTCTTTAACAAATGCCTGGGAACTGTTCCTGTCCCATGTTGCGCAGACTCATCCTATTTAAAAGTGATTTTGTTTTGTAATAAACTGCCATAATTCGAATGTATGCCGTATATTCAAGTGTGCGTGTGTAAAGATGGGGAAGGTGGGGTAATAGCGACCATCGTCCAAGTCACCTCCTGCGATGTTCGATCGGCCAGCCCATGTTAGGCCGTCGCGGAAAGTCCAAGTAGTGCGTGAAAGTAGGCCTGTAACCGCTGATATAACCTAAAGGCGTTTAATTCCACTCTTAAAGGTATTATTTCTAGGTAACGGATTTTTGGGTACCATCTCCCGATTGTTACCGAATTTCGGTTAACTTTCCAAAAGGTAGCACATTAACTTATCCGAGAAACGGCACTGTGGCTGATCTGAGCCAACATAGCAATCCATCCGTCAATCTTCAAGGGATTCTCGTGAGACACCAAGGTTACCCAAACGCCATGTTAATCCTGTGTTAGCTCGACATGGACTTCTACTCTATGTCTGTATGTGTCTATTTTAGGGCTGAAACGCTCCAAGTATTAGGAGTACGAAGAGTTCCAGGAGGAACATAATTTGTGGAAGATATTGACAGTCTCATCAACCACAGATCCTCATCCTGAAGCCCTATTACTCTGTCACTCAAGTCGACAGCAACCCCGCATGCCTCAGAGGCTGTCTTTGCACAGACTGCGGGAACGCTAATCTCTAGCGTTTAGCCCACAATCAATGTATTCACGCCAGTTAATAAATTTTGTGGACTGACACTTTGCACGCACATTTGTGCACATAAACGGAATCCCCACCTTAACTGCTCATTCCAACAGCAGTGCAATTTGCATTTTTGCTTTTGTTGGACAGCGGTGCTTAAAGGTTAGTCCAATGATGATTTTGGTCTAGGTTAAAACAAAACCGTAGTCTCCCTCAATTCCGTTCAAAGTATGCTGGTGTTAAAGATGGATCGGCGAACGTTCTTTTAGGGTAGATTAACGCTATTAGATGGGAACTGTAAACCTGTTTAATGGGGATAGTTTGACTTAAACAAAACCGCACTAACAACATTCATATAAGTAAAAACGCAGTAGCATTAAACAAACACTGGCAACGTACTCTAATTAACTGTTTAGCTCCTACAAACCCTTCTAGCTTGATGATGCCAAATGTAGTTCATTTTGCTGAGAGCAGGAAGACGTGAGCGTTATTCATACTCACCTTTTAATCCTTCCAACAGCAACAGCTTCGGCCGCGTACAAGGTTCGCATGAATACAACAGCGGCAGATATGAACACGTTATAAAGCAAGTTTCTCATGTCCGATTTATGAGAAGTTCTACTATATGATGAGGCCCCTGCTCTCGCAAGGTGCAAGATGGAATGCGTTGGCTAAGCAGGCATTCACATCGAGGCGGCTGTCTCTTGTAGAAAGAGGGAAATTTTACGGATAGAACTCATCAGTTGCTCTTGTTACCCTGTCTGTTGATAAATAATGGCTTACTGTAGATGACAACTAATGCTGCCAACGTCTTCTATGTCGGGCAAGAAATATACCCTGTCACAAATGTTGACCTTTATTTGCCATCTAATATACCCCGACAGGTTGCTTAACTCCGGGCTTGAGGATGGCATTACACTACATGACCAAATTCATGGAGTATTATTAAATCAATTAGGAATCTCTAACCCATCAGGAACTAGTTTAAATGTATATGTTAAAACATAAAACAAGTATTAAACGACATTCAATTAGCTAAGAATTCGAAGTAAACGTTTAAACAGCGGTCTCTCCAGTCAACAATTTAAGTTTTCCTTACAGATGCGGAAATGCTAAAAACATGCTAATTCGTATCAACCGAGTTGATTTAATTTTTAGTAGTGACATAAAAACTCACATATGTGAGTAAATAAAACGACATTAGCACAGTAATGTTTGAACACGGGTAAGTTATACATATGCGGTACATACACTCCAATAATTCGTGTTAGGTGAGACATGACATAAAGTTTGGTATGTTGTGTTTCACGATGTGTTTTAGAATCTTCTTGCACAAATTTTACGTAATTTTTCAATTTGTATCGTTCGTGATGTAGTTTATTCTCACGTAATTTCTCTGAAAGATACGCAATAGAAATAAACTTTTCCATAAGGCTCCATCTTGAGTGGTCGATCAGTGATTAATAAATTCAAAAACTAGTAGATACGATCGGACGCATTTAGGAAACTCTTTGAGAAAAATCATTGTGGTTTTTGCTGACGGTGGAGTCCGCTGAGGTACAGAGTGAATACACTGTGGTTTTCAGAGCCATAAAAGATCAAATCGGTGCTTTTCGTCTATCAAAATCTCTAAAGTAACATATTTCTAGAAAGCATTTGCTTAAGTAAGGAGTTGCTGTTCTTTCTTTTTCATGCAGATGGTCTTTTAGTCATATTTACAAACTGACCAAACCTTGGTAATGACATTAAAAATGCATCAAAAATTATGATCTGATATAAATATGTTCTTGCGCGATTGTGACACTCTCTTGTGCGTGAAGTCTTTAAATACCGCCCTGATGTGGTATTTTGCTCACCAACGTCCGCGTACTTCAATCTTTTCTTGGATAAAATCATGAGAACATGGGATGTTTGGCACCCTTTTACAGTACCTTTAAAATTACTTACTATTTTTGCCAAAGAGGGACCAGCTATCATTTATCTTTGAATAAGATACTTTTCCTTATTCTTGTACACTCATTGTTTTCGATCTACGATCATCAATATCCTAGTAAATACCTATATAAGTATCGAAATTTCGCTCAAATTGTTAATGCTATGCGAGTTCCCTTGGTGAATTACGCATCAGCAGAAGCTAGACGGTACAAACAATGGCTTACAGGGTCACCAATGTGAGTGGTTGTTTGACGGTAGGCCTCTTTACGGTTTCTTGTGCAGCATTCGCAAATGGAAGTAAAACTACGGGTGTCTCAATATGAAGGATCGCCTTCAAGCGCTATTATGTGATTTTAAAGCACAGAATAACACAAATTTATGAAACTATTTGAAAAAAGGCGTCTGATCCTTTGAAAATAACTTACATACTCACATCTTACTTTGCACGGCTTACATAGAATAACAAATCAGTGACCCTGCGGGGGTAATCTGATTTTGGAGACATTGCCTGTTTAAATTACTGCCTCACGTGACGACAAAACTTGTACTTCTATTCCGCGGGATCTGGCAGTCAAGACCGTCGAATTGCTCCTAAAGAACAAATGCTATGAAATGGATAATTGCTTGGGATAGACCCGACTCTTGAAGCTCTGTCTGAAGCTATGCTTCAACACTGATGGAATAATCTGCGAGCAGGTGAAAGGCATTCCACTGGGTACGGCGATTTCAGAACTTATAGCTAAGGTCTTCATGCAGTTGCTGGAATCCTGGATCTTCTGATACCATAGGCTGCAATTTTTGGCTCGGTAGGTGGAAAAGAACAACAACCATGGTCTCCCGCCACGTCTCACAGAAACAACCGAAGTCGTGCAGCAGCTCTCCAGCAGTAAAGCACCGGAATCCGACTCGATCATGGCCGAATTTCACAAGCACGAAGGCCCTCGGTTAATCGACAAACTGACAACGAGATATCAGTAGATGTGGCGTCACGGACAAGTTGTCTAAGATTCCAAGGACATGACGGTTGTCCGTTTCTGCAAGTGGAAAGAGGGCTGCCAACTCCATGACAATTACGGCGACACCATGCTGCCCAAAACTGTCGGGAAGATCTTCGCTCGCAGTCTTCTCAGTCGTGTCAACGGTCATCTGGTACAAGGACGTCTCTCGGAAAGTCTGTGTGAATTCCAATGACACTGCGAAATCAATGACATGATGTTCACCGGCCGCCGACTAGAAGAGGAGTGTCAAGAAATGCGAACCCTCTCCTGCGCTACCTTCGAAGACCAGAGGAAAGCCTTAGGCACGGCCAATTGCGATGGACTCTGGATAAAATCATGAGAACATGGGACGTTTGGCACGTTTTTTCAGTACCTTTTAAATTACTAACTATTTTTGCCAAAAGGGGACAAGCTATCATTTATCTTTGAATAAGACACTTTTCTTTATTTTTGTGCACTCACTGTCTTCGATCTACGATGATAAATATCTCAGTAAATACCCATGCAAGTATCAAAATATTGCTCGAACTGTTATTGCTATGCGAGCTTCCTGGTTAAATTACGCATTAGCAAAAGCTAGACGACACAAACAGTGCCATACCATACGGTCACCAATTGAATTGGCTGCTTGGCAGTGGGCCCGTTCACGGTTTCTTGTGCAGCATTCGCAAACGGAAGTAAAACTATGGGTGTCTCAATGCGAAGGATCGCCTGCAGACACCGTTATATGATCTCAGAGCACAGAATAACGCAAATTTATGAACATGTTTAAAAAAATAAAAGACGTCTGTTTCTTTGAAAATAACTTACAGTGCGTGACCGATCTGATGTAATGTTGGTCGAAATTCTAAAATGCGTTTTAGATTAGGAGGGATTACTCAGGTGGGATTGTAATGTTGCTTATCAAGCAACATATCCCCATATTATTTCGGACTCGCTATGGTGTCGGCGTTTGAGTGCACTTCACTTCGACCTCCTATAGAAGCCACAGTCGGCAAAAAATAACTACGTAGGTAGCATGCATTTTTTCCCAGTGAGGTTCGATGGTCTAATAAATTCAATTGTGTTTTGGAAACCACGCACAAAATATGCTTTCTTTTACTGGCTTGGTAGAAAATAGCAGTGTCTTTACATTTTATACCCAAAGAAAGCGTGTATTTAGGTTTTAAAAAAGTTTCTAGCTATGAGATTTTTAAGACCGTGCGGTGTCCATACATACAGCGTCGCACATCTCCGTTTACCAATGCTCCTCGTGAAATGTACAACATAGTCCACATTCATTGCAAAATTCTATGAATTCAACACGGCATCTTCTTAAAGGCATAGAGGAATATATGATTTTTCTAATGAGAAAAGCATGCACCTGGTAGAATGGGACCCCTTAATGGTGATGCGGCAACTGATCTTGCCCAGAATTATTGGGGAATTCGGAAACTTTTCAGAACCTAAATATACGCTTTCTCCGGGTATAAAATGTAAGGACAATGTTATTTTCTACCATACAAGTAAAAGAAGGCATATTTTGTGCGTGTTTTCCATAATAAATAACAAATATTTGAATTTATAACACCATCAAAAATAAATGTGAAAATACATGCTATTTAAGTAGTCATTTTTTGCCGAATATGGCTTCTATAGGAGATCGAAATGAATTTCATTCAAACGCCGACACCCTAACGAGTCCGAAATATTGTGGGAGCATGTTGCTTGACAAGCAACATTACAACCCCACCTAAGTAATCCTTCCTAATCGAAAACGCTTTTCAGAATTTCGGCCAACATTTCATCAGATCGGTCACGCACTCTACATACTCGCATCTTACTTTGCACGACTTACATAGAATAAGAAATCAATAACCCAGTGGGGGCAATCTGGTTTTGAAAATGTTTTCTGTTTAGATTACTGCCCTCACGTGACGACGCAACTAGTACTTCTAGTCCGCAGGATCTGGCAGTCAAGACCGTCGGAATACTCCTAAAGAACAAATGCTATGAAACGGCCAATTACCTAGGATAGACCCAACTCTTGAAGATCTGTATGAGGACATGCTTCAACCCTGGTGGAGTGAAAGACACGCCGATGGGTTCGGCGATTTCAGAACTTATAGCTAAGGTCGTCCTACAGTTGCTGGAGTCATGGATCTTCTGATACCACAGGCTGCAATTTTTGGCTCGGTAGGTGAATGACATTTTTTCATAAGTGGAAAAGGACAGCAGCCTGGGTCTCCCGCCACCTCTCACAGAAACAACCAAAATCGTGCAACACCTCTCCAGTAGTAAAGCACCGGAATCCGACTCGATCATGGCCGAATTTCAGAAGCACGGAGGCCTTCGGTTAATCGACCAACTGACGACGATATATCAGGAGATGTGGCGTCACCGACAAGTTGTCCAAGATTCCAAGGAGATGACGGTTGTCCGTTTCTGCAAGTGGAAAGAGAGCTGCCAACTCCATGACAATTACGGCGGCACCATGCTGCCCAACACTGTTGGGAAGATTTTCACTCGCAGTCTTTTCAGTCGTGTCAGCGGCCATCCGAAACAGGGACTCCTGTCGGAAAGTCTGTTCGAATTCTGCGCCACCTTCGTAGACCATAGGTAAGCCTTCCACACGACCAATTGCGATGGACTCTGGAAATTTGGCCGTTATAATCGATTTACGCACATGGTCGCGAGCTCCACGACGAGATGATGATGTGAGTCATAGACAATGTAATAGTCTCACAACCATCCTGGGTGATCAGTTGAATGACGTAGGGCTGTGTATTCGCTCTGACCTTCTTTAACATCATATACACTATACTGCTGATGGATACCCACCGTGATGAGCGTCCTAGGATCGACATAGTTTATAGGGGTCGGCTTCTCAGCACCCGACGCGTACAAGCATCCCCGCGGACATCGACAACCACCGTCCATGAACTCCTCTATGAGAGCGATCGCGCACTGAACACTGCAACAAAACGGGGAATGCGACGGAGCATGGACTTATTTGTCTCCGGCTACGACAACTTCAGTCTAACTAACAATACGCCAAAACGGTGGTTATGTATCAGCCGTCACTCAACACAAAATACAATGTCAGCGGCTTACAACTCTAAACAAATAACAGTTTCGCATAATGCGGCATAAAAATCGACGACAAAGCCAACCAAACATTCGGCCGGAATCCACATGGTTACCAATTTAACACCAAACCCAAAATAAAAATCTTCCATCTTGACTACATTGCTGTACAAAGCGTAGGCCTGGAGGGTCTGTGAGAAAAAAATGCCGTATTCTAATTTTTTCTACCTCACCTACCTCCGAAGGATACTGAAGCTGAGATGACAAGACGGTGCTCTAGAGACCGAAGTTCTAGAAGGCACAGGAATTCTCGGTGGCAACTTCCACTGCGATGGAGAGTGGCCTCTTGAGGGTGTATGACGAGCGCCTACACAAGGCGGGTTCTAGGAAGAATTTCAAAGGAGATGCAGTCATTGAAATAAGAGACTTGTCGGCCCGACGTTCCGGATTCTCCCCTGAACCCATCATCAGAAACGGTCGTAAAGAAGCGTGGTGGAGGTACAGTGGGTGGGCTAACTCATGAAATGTCAACCGAAATTCCGAAATGCGTCTTCGTTTCGAAATATTAATGAAGTAGGATTGTAAAACTAATCATTATTCAGCGGAACTCTATAATCAGTTACCCCAGGATACCGGCTTTTGAATAATTTTCTTTTCGGCTGCTGTTTTACTTTTACTATTCTGCCCTCCGCATGCCTGACGATGAATAATCGAAAACGTACGTTTTATGTTCTAAAATTTACTGCGCTTTTAAACTATCGCGGTGCGTCAAAAACTGTGGCTTGGAAGGGTGTCAACTGACTGTCAACTCGGTCCCCCTCTCAGGACGGAGATCCTCTGTGGCACTCCTACTCGCACATGGGATGCGATCTATCCTCGCCCTCCCCCCTTCTTACTGTGTGCAACCCCGGTCCTTGTGCATAGGGTTGGGGCATGCCTCGGCGCGAGTTCACGCTTTACCAGTTACCGGCGCCCTCCGCTCGCCCTCTGGCTGTCTCGAGTCTGCCTTGGCACCAGGCCCAGGAGGGCGCGGGTGTGGAGAGTGCGGTAGACGCCGCCTAAAACACACGTAAGTCACTGTTCCTGTTCCCACCCGGCTGTGAGGCCTACCGTCGGAAACTGCGGTTAGACAATCAGTTCACACTGTAATAGTGAAAATGCGATTCCCAGGTGGCATAATAAAAGAAAAAGAGGCGTCCAACGGGAGAGGTTTATTGGAGATTCGACGTTTCGAGTAGTTGATTCGTCTACTCATTTTCAGAGACTGGCAAGTCCCGTCCAGTCGTCTCACTCCGAGGCACACCCACATACGGGCTTGCAAGCTGGCTATTTCAGAAGCTAAGATTCTTAACTGTATGCTCACAAAAAACGGCACACTCAGCTGAACAATTCCTTGAAAAAGTGAGGTCAGTCACGATGGAACCGAATGAAAGGATGGTGTCTTTTGGCGTCGTCTCACTCTTCACGTTCATACCACAGGCCCCTGCGGTCAAAGCGCTCAGTAACCTTCTACGTCAAAATTACGACGGGGACGATGGCCAACGCATAGCTCAAGATCTCAAAGAACCCATGGGGCACTGTCTCAAGACATTCTTTACCTTCGAAGGGATCACATACGAGCAAATCAAGGGCACTCCAATGGGTTCACCAATCTCCGGGCTCATTGCTGAGGCGGTTCTACAAAAACTCGAGATACGGCTATTCGAGGAGTACAAACTCAAGTTTTGGGCACGCTACGTTGATGACACCTTTGTAATCATCGACCGGGATAAAATAAACTACTATGCGGAAGTACTGAACTCAATCATTCCCTATCTACAGTTCACGATGGAAGAGGAAGTAGGAGACAAACTTCCATTCTTGGATGTTCACGTCTGTCGCCAACCAAATGGCCAATCAGCGACGTCGATCTACAGCAGATCGACGAACACGCTGCAAATGCTTAGTTACAACAGTAACCACCCGCTACAACACAAACCAAGCTGTGTCCGCACGCTATACCGATGGGTTGAAACTCCTTGCAGCACGCCAGCCGCCGAACTGGACGAGATAAAGCTCCTCCAAGAACTCTTCAGAGCCAACGGCTATCCGCGGGCATTCATTGAACGGCATGCGACAGTTTGACGGTCGATTCCGACGATGGCCACCGCGTGCTACGCAGCAAGGTGCAGCAGGCACGGTGACTTGAACGTGAATTATTTTATAGTGATAGTAGACTTGCGTAACATCTTCCGCACTCTCTCTTCCTCATTCCCAACCTGGACCCGGTGTCAAGACAGACACAAGAAGACCGGAGGCGGAGAAGGGCTCAGGTGGCTGGCACGGCCGGACCCACACCTAGTCGTGCCACCACACCCCTGTCCACAAAATACACTTGATCAGAATCCTTCACCAACAACATCCCAACAGGGATCAGAAGAATGAGGATGACTGAACAGCCCTGTCCACCACCTGTACACCCAGCGGGAACGCAAGCGCATCTACCGGCAGGAAACCCGATGCCAAGGAACTGCCAGCGCTTCGAGGACCATGGTTTGCTGGCACTGGCATAGCACACGCTTTCAGACCTTTTGACCACTGGCATGCACACTGACACTGACAAGTCTTTTGTCGTCGATCTAGCTACCTCGTTCAATGGTGCAAGTGTGCAGATGCGTGGGATTAGATGATTCCTAATTGCTGTGGCATGGTCGGCAGTGAGCTCGCTACCACTACCAACGTCGCACCAAACACCGTCGCAAATGTCTCGGACTACTTCAAACTGGGTGTGATCTCGGACAGAGACCCAACCAACCTGGCACCCCGCCCGGAGGTGGATACAGCGACCAGGTATTCGCATTACGATGCAAATTTTACGTCGTTTACAGCTATCAGCAAACCGGGGGGCAGTGCTTTGTTGACTTTGCTTTGGCATCTGTTTCCGCTGATTGCGAGGCTTATAATGAAGTTAAACAGAAGCCGAGAAAAATCTATTGTTCTGGTGAAGGCCTGCTATCCTTCCAAAACCCCTTATTTTTTAGCGCAAAACGGTCTTTCCCAATCATCTAGCATTTAGTATGTCATTCGACAACGTTGCTGTCCATTATGTGAACAGGGCGCTAATAACCACATTCTCAGAATATTTCTACACAATTTTGGCAATGTTACTCTACAAACATTAGCTGATTATCTTCACTGCTCAGGAAATATAATCATCCTAAAGAAAGTTATGATGACCCACGAGCCACGAACTTGGGCGTTTTATTCCTTGTTCTGTAAAAATCAAAGGGTTTTCCAGCTGCCAAGGAGAAGGTGCCACTCATAAGTATTGACCGCCACTTTCACGGTGCGGGCGCTTTCAAACATCATGGAACCAAGGTACTGTATAAGAGATTAAATGAGGAGTATATGGCAGCAAAGCCGATGTTGCTCTCATGGTTTTCGCGGGTCGTAGAAAGTGCTCGCGGTAAGATCTGGTCTTCTAGCCGCACCTGATGATGATTATACTGCTGAACTACTGAATTGTTTCCAGAAGGCCAGACTATGCTGAAATTGCACATTTATACCTTGGTGAAACGGAAAAGGGCATGCTTGCGTACAAGTTTAGAGGTTGGGTTTGAGTTAGAGTTAGTGTTGCTGACTGCGATTAGGGTTAGGGTTTTGGGATAGGGCTAAGACTACGACTGGGTTTAAAGTTTGGGGCTAGCGTTAAGTTTAGGGTTTCGGGCCAGCCATCGCCTTCGTGCACACCATACGGAATGACCTTGACCACGCCGTCGCCACTTACGATTGGGTGGTTGGACCCCCATCGTATTTTTACCATTTGCGCTTCAGCTTCCATTCCTTCAAAGCTGTATTGCACACTTCATTAGCTCATTTTCTTTACTGCAGTTTCACTGACATTTTCGATTGCTCCACCCGTAAAACGTCTTAAACCACTATTCCCATATTACAGGCAGTCGGGGTTTAGCCATTTCAGGCGCGACTACAAGACCATATCTATCCGTCCTCGCTTACGGCACCGGATAGTGTAGTATGGACGCAGAGATGTCTTTATGATGGGCCGCGCGGTAGATGCGCTGGATGGGGGGGGGGAGAGAGTTGGATCGCAGTCTGGCAGGCCATGTGGAGGCCGCGACGTGGAAGCGATTTCGAAAATCTGACTCATGTACTCCATCAGGAAATACAATCGGTTCTTGGACCTCTGTTGGCTCCGTCACTGAGTAAGAGGGAATTGAGCCCCCCACCTCCCATCCGCTGTCGCAGTTTATCACTCTCGAAAAGGTAAAATGAGTAACATTAGTGAGACCGGTTATATTAGGTTCTATCAGAGCCGTACGTTTGACTTACTACAGGGCACGGTCATATTTCAGCCATACGGGGAGTATATTCAGTATTTTTGTGTTCTACTAACTGCCTGTTGACGGTCTGTGAATATTACGTGGTTAGTCCGCTGTGGTTGGTGAACTTCAGCTCAAGCTTTCATATCGACTTACAGAGCAAGCCTAAAAGACTTTGTTCCGAGGGACTTACTCAAACTTAGCGCGTTAATTCCCGGGGATGTTAAAAATGGCAGAAGTATTCACTCCTCAAGTGTTTTTTTCAAGTATCTCCCATTGTCGAAACTGTGGTCTGTTGTTGTCCAGCAGGCACAGTGTTACTAATAGCATCAATCCTTCTAAAAAAAAAATACGAACAGTAAGTAGCACAAAGACCACTTAGGGGCCTTTGGAAGAACTAAACGATGCGGACTGCTGTGGTCGCTTAATCCATGGAAGAAAAACCTCACCCAGACGTCGTATATATCGACCGACATGCACGGCAAATCAAGGAAGCCTACTTGCATTTCTTCTAATCGAGCACACTTTTTTGTCCTAAATACGATCTACTTTTTTAATTTTAGTAGGCGATCTTACCATGGATTACAGTTGTAAATTTCGACTATCGTGGAAGTGGAAGTACTTTCACTCAGTAGGTTGCCGGACTACTTGTCTCCCTTGTTTCTTGAGGATCCGTGTGGAGACTAGGGGTTGAGGTGTGTGGTAGGAACGTAAACGACGAATGTAGTAAAGAAGTTTACGAACTTTAATAAATAGGGACTCAATATGGAGGGAAAAAGAAAGATTTGAAGACAAAGTAACGCCGAGATACCTGAAAGAGGATACTTCGTTAGGAAGAATGTCAGAGGAATCAGGGTTAGGAGAGGGCCGCAGTCGAAAAATACACTGAACGGATTTTTGGTTGTTAACTAGGAGACCATTTTCCTCCGACCACGCTAGGACATGGTTTAGGCCATCCTTTAGAGACCGGAGGTGTGTCTGACTTTTGAGAGGGTGTCCAACAACCACATCGTCAGCATACTTGACCAGAAGACAGTCATTAGGGGACCTGAGATCATCAGTGTGGAGGGAGAAAAGGTGAGGGGATAGAATGGAACCTTGAAGAACACCGCAGTCGTTGGGAAGGGTCGAAGATTTCCGCTTGCCAGATTGGACAAATTGGGTGCGGAAGGTAAAATAATCGCTCAGCCAAGAGACGACCCAGCCTGGAGAGACACATACGGAGGTTTTGGAAAGGAGAAGAGGGTGATGGTTTTCTTTGTTCATGCTTTTTATATTCCCCCTCATAACGTTCTGATCAGATGGTTTTGCATTTTAACAAGCTTTGCTACGGCAGTCTGGCCTAATTTCACGTTCTCCAACCGTGTTTTGTTTGTTCAGATTTGCCTGATATAGGGCAGCCCACCGACACGAGACAGATCCTACACTTCAACAGCAACCATCCTCTGTCTCACAAACGTAGTTGTGTCCGCACTCTATTCCAAAGAGTTGAAGCACACTGCAGCACGCCAGAAGATAAAAGGGCCGAACGATTGTACCTTGTGGACCTATTTGCAGTCAATGTTTATCCCAGGCATTTCATCGAATGAAGCAGATGTTGGGCGCCCAGACGACGGCCAAATGAGCAGCAACCCGAAGTCTGGAGGGCCATTCTCTACGTCAAAGGGGTCTCTGAAGCGGTCTCGCGACTGTTACAACCCACCAGAGTAGGCATAGCCCATCGACCCCAAGCAACAATTCGACGTCGCCTGATGCAACCCAAGGACCGATTGCCACCCGCCGAAACCTCAGCAGTCATCTACAAAATAAATTGCAATGAGGGCGACTGCAACTATATGGGCGAAACCGGGCGGAAATCGCAAACTCGCCTATAAGAGCACAAATCGGCCACTAGGAGGTTAGACCTTAACTCTCAACTAGCAAAACACGTTGGAGAAACAGGGCATACTTTTGACCTCCAGAGGGCTACCATCTTAGGCCGAGGCAACACGAAAGCAGAACGGTTAACTCTCGAGGCGTGGTTCTCCGATGCCCACTCTATCAACAGGCATCTGGACCTTCCTGCAGCTTACAAGGTCCTACGTCATCACAATCGTAGAGCTCAGGACCAAACAACCACACCGGACTTAAGAAGGCCCTGGGGAGATAGCCTGACGTTGAGTTTACTCAGTGAGGAAGAACAAGAACCGCCAGACCGACCGCCCGACAGAGGTTCATTCAGCTCCCCTCGACGGAGTGGTGACTCACAAAGCACACAGGCAAAACATCCGTCCACCATCTCCCGAGAGGCTGAGGCAGCTAAAGGAGAGAAAAATCGATCAGCATAAGGCTGATCAACACCAGATGCCACTTTAAATCAAATTTCTGATCGATTAAGTGAATTGTTCGCTTTGACAATGAAGAGCCTGTGGCGGTCAAGGATGTGAGATCGACTTAAGCCACGCACAATAAGTTCGTTTCGTCTACTGTCAGAAATCAGGGAGCTGTGAGGACTAGTTTATTCTGTACACAGGGCAGGTTGCCGTAAGTTGGCGGTTTGCTTGCAACAGAGAAAAGCGTCCATTCACGGAGAGCGTCAGTCGCGGTGTGTGTGTGTTGTTTTTGCGGGTGTGCGTCTGGGTCAGCAGGAGGGGTGACTGGCTGAGTGTTGGTCGTGTGATTGGACAAATTAGGGGACGAATGGAGGGCGCATACTCACAAGGCCTCACGGGGATCAAGCCAAAGCGTTCGACGCGCGTTAGGTGATACTAGTTTGTGAGTGCAGCCGGGGGTCACTGCAGCTGGACCGGAGGTGTCCCAGTTCTAGCCGGCGGGGTTGGTCGTGCGTCAGCGGCCTGTCAGTGCTTGTCACGACCATCGACCGACAAAACGGAGCCGGAGAAAAGGGGGGCTGGAGCGGCTGCTACAGGCCGACCCAGCTCTTTGAAACGTCAGCAGTTAAATAAACCTGTTCCGGAGAGCCTATTTTCTTCTTCAAACGTGCCTTGTTTATTAGCATTTCTAAATCTAAAAAAGGATTCTCGTCATCCTGTCCTAACTGCTGGCACTGCTAGTCGAAAATTCACGTCGTTCGTTTTTTCTTTCCACGGCGCTAGTAAATTTCCATTCTTAACAGGCATATGCCTTGCTATCCGCTACACTGCAATGGCAGAAAGAGCCAGGCGATCGAAATAACCTAATCCATCGGCAGCGTATTTAACCGAGATGCTCATTGATCTGTGGCAGATCTTCGACCTTCAAAAGTTCGTACGAATGTGCGAATTCGGTTTCTGTGTGAACGTCTTAACAATGACTGCTCTTCCGTTGTCTCTCATGACGCGATCAGGATAACTCCCGAAATAATTAACGTCTTATCCGTAGAGTGACTTATATCTTACGGTTCTTTCCAGTCTCTTATCGTGAAAGAGGTACAGCAGCCTTGAGGAGGTCTGCAGAAGAGCCTAGTAAACAGACAAAATTAATGGTAAGAAATCAAATGTCTTGTGGCATCCCCCGGGGGTACTGTGGCGATCCGCGCTTCCTTGCACGCCACCGCCTTGTCAAGCCATCCTTCTGTCAGACACACGTTCCCTGACGAGTCGCTCCAAGAGTCACGCAAGTCTTGTCACGAGCCTCGTGAGAGTTCGAAGCCAATCAATGTTGCGTCCTCTCTGATTGGATGGCGGACACGGACTGAGGCAGAGCGAAGGCGCACACACAGGCTTGAGGCTAATAACCTCAACGGCTGATACGGACAATATAACTTGCCTGGAGAGACTGATGTTTGCAGAGTCTTTCATACGCTCTTTCCTTCAGTATAAGCTGGTCCAACCAAATCTGTCTTTCCTGATCTCCGATTTGAAAATCTTTGTGTTGTTGATCATTTACTTTGACAGACCCGTCCAAAAACAGGAAAAGCGCGTGTCCAGTGCTCTGTGGTTTACTAAAACAAAAAGCGTAGATTGAGAAAAGAGACCAGGCAGCTAAAGTCAGGAGCTAGTCAGGCACCTCGGCACGTTCCTGTAAATGCCGGAGAATTGTTTAGAAAATCCGGGTGTTGGCGTTTGAACGGCAAAAAAATAACTGATTCAGCAGCGTGTGACCGAACGAAGCCGTGTCTTTCTGTGGAGCGTTTTAGACTGAGGTAGAGGTCAGACCAGCCACTGTGCCCACTCTCACTGGGAGATAGCCAATGGAGGAGAAAGGTGACATCGCGCAATTCAGATCCACCTTATAGTCCTCCACCAATGCAACGGTAGGCACTTTGAAATTAATCCGACGAACTAACTGATGCGAACTGGAGGGTTGTTGATCAACGGGATACCACGGTCCTGTCCATTTTTATCGGGTCTTCCTGACTGAGACCTGGCACGTATGAAAGCAGCAGCCAGGTCATGTGTGGCCTGCATAGACAGACTGGTTAGCTGTCAGCTAATACGTCCCACTCAAGTTCCCTTAGTCTTAACTTTGTCTTGCATTGGAAAGTAATATGTTTAGAACGGTAAAGTGAGCTGGATGGTTTCGCCATAAACAGAGACTCCCGCCGGTCATGGCTGCGTCGAATACATAAAGCGGTAGTGATTCTCGCTGTTTGCAACGGCTGAAGTCTCGAATAGCATGCAGACAAATAAGTACCTGGTAACACGTGAAAGGAAGATTATGTACCGACTACTAAACTTTTAGCGGCCTTGCTTTTGAAAGTTTGCAGAATAACATCGTATTTCAACCTACAAATACGCTTCCTTTTACTTGTTTGGTGGAAATTAATGTTGCCTTTACATTTTATACCCGAGGAAACCGTATATTTAGGTTTTAAAGGTTTCTAATTAAGAGATTTTTAAGATTGTGTAATGTCCATACACAGCGTCGCGCATCTCCGTTTACCAATGCTCCTCTTGAAACGTACAATATAATTCACATCTATTGCAAAACTTCATGAACCCATCATGACAGTTCGACCATCGGTTTCGATGATGTCCACCGTGTGCCCCAGAGGTGCAGCAGCAATTGGAGCAGGGACGGTACTTTAGCAGGGGTTAATAGTGCCGGTAGACTTGCGTAGCATCTACCTACACTCTCTCCTCCTCCCTCGCCCGAGTCCGGTGTCAAGACAGTGTCAAGAAGACCGGAGACGAGAGAGGCCGCAGGTGGATGGCTCGGACGGATCCTCACCTTGGCGTTCCACCACACCCCCTGGCCCACACAACAAATAACCAGGATTTCAACCAACACAAGAGAGATTTGGAGGCTGACACGTCCGAAGCCGCACCTGGGCGTGCCGCCAACGCCTGGCTCGGATCCCACACTGTGATGGGAGTGTCATAAAGGCCACATTAAAAAGGAGCCATTGCAGCCTGACTCTCAGGCCGCCTCCGGTCAAGGAGGAGGTCCAAGGTACCCCGTCAGTTGGCAACCTTCCAAGCCACGGCTTTTAGCGCACCGTGATAGCTTCAAGCGCGTCAGATTGATTATAGTGAGGAAAAAGTGCGCTGAGTCGTCGACCTCACTCTCCCTTCCCATTCCCACACCCCAGCCGCTGTCCGAGCCGGTCAGCAAACTGGAGTGGGGAATGGGCGCGGTGGCTTTCATGGTCGAATGACCATGACTGCCCGCGCCACGGCACGACCTGGCCCCCCATACACACACAAACACCAGGATTTCACACAACGGGGGTTGAACGGCGTGTCTCTCACTTGCGTGAGAGTGCCGTGGAAGGTGCTGTTTCAGCCCGTTCCCAGCCCACCAATCCGCCACTCCACACAACACACACACACAACGCGACGAACTGTGTGAACCGAGAGCGGGCGTCAATCAGCAACCTTCCTATCCACGATGCTTGACGTGTCGGGATAGTCTCGGACTCAAGTCACCTGTGCAGCCGAAGCCGCATGGGGACCGAGTCGAGATGCGGACATCCCACTTGCGTGGGAGGTGGCAGTTGGGTGCATGAGGTGTGTGAGTGTTGACTTCTGGTGGGGTGATGGTGGTGGTGGAGGAGGAGGTAGGGGTGAGTGAATGTGTGGTGTGACCGGCGGTTGTCTACCGCAGGTCGTCGTGGATGCGCATGTGGCCGAATAGGCTCATGCGATGCCTGAAAGTGCGAGGACAGTGTGGGCAGTTGAGACGAGCTTGGTGGGTATAGGTGGGTGCTCCAGGCACTGGTTCGCCAGTCTCTGTGCGATGGATTCGCAAGTGACCGACCAGGCCGATGCGTGAGGTGAATGTGCGTGGACAGTGTGGGCATGAGAAGTCGGCGGTGTCAGTGTCAGCTACAGAGGAGGCGGTGGTGGTGGTGGTGGTGGTGGTGGTGGTGTCGCGGACGGATGGAACGATAGTGGGGGTGTGCACGGTGGATGTGTTGGATGTGGTGGGTGTGTCGGGAGTGCGGTCAAGGCCGCTCTCATGGACGCGCATGTGGCCGAAAAGGCCCATGCGATGCCTGAAGGTGCGAGGGCAGGTAGGTAGGGTGTAGGTAGGTGCTTCACGCCCTGGTTCGCCAGGCTCTGTGCGATGGATTCGCAAGTGACCGACCAGGCCGATGTGTGAGGTGAAGGTGTGGTCGCAGTGAGGGCAGGTGTGGTCCTGATCCTCATCCCTGGAGTCGGGGGAGGTGGTGGTAGTGTCGGTTGCTGTGCGTGGGACAGTCTCCTGGGCGGCCGCCGTTAGAGTAGTGGGCGAGGAGGAGGAGGAGGAGGAGGAGGAGGAGGAGTAGGAGGAGGAGGAGGATGATGATGGAAGTTGTGGGTCAGAAGAATTGTCAGGGTTAGTTGGCGGCGGAGAGGAGGAGGAAGAGGCAGGCGGGGGGACGATGGTTGGTGCCGTTCGAGAGGAGCAGTTAATCCGAAGATGTCCAACAAGTCCGATTCGAGCCCGGAATGTCCGTTGACATCGAGGACACGTTGAAAGCGGTTGTGCGGCGACGTTGCTTACTGGGCGAAGTTGCGATTTACGGGCTTCACGTTTCGCTTTGGCGGCAGCGATGCGGTTGGCTTCGTAGATCGCAGCGCCTGTCTTCCCTGTCCTCCTCCAGGTCGGTCGATCGAGTGCGAGCTCCTCCCAGTTGGTGGGGTTGATTTGCAGGCATTTCAGGGAGGACTTCAGGGTATCCTTGTAACGGCGAATCTGGCCTCCTTGACGGCGAGAACCCGTCGCGACGTCTCCGTTGAAGAGTCGTTTGGGTAGTCGCTCGTCGTCCATGCGCACCAGGTGGCCGCTCCAGCGCAGCTGAATTTGTCTCAGTATGGCGTAGTTGCTGAGGATTCCCGTCCGTTCCAGCACATCAGTGTCGGGGATTCGATCCTGCCAGTTCAGCCTCAGGATGCGACGAAGACAACTGAGGTGGAAGTGGTTCAGACGACGTGCCTGCTTTGCGTACACCGTCCAAATCTCCGCTCCATACAGTAGCGTCGGCAGGATGACAGCCTTGTACATCTTCAGCTTCGTGCTCAGTTGGAGACCATGACGATTCCAAACTGTGCTTTGGAGGCGACCGAAGGCTTGACTGGCTTTCGAGATCCTGTTGGCGACTTCGTCGTTGATCTTGGTGTTGCGGGAGAGAGTACTGCCCAGGTACGGGAAGTTCTCCACCACTTGCAGTTGGGTCCCATTCACGCTGATTTGCGGCGGCGCGTTGGGGGCTGTGGCCGAGTTGGGTGGCGGTTGGTGCATCACCACCGTCTTCTGTGTGTTGATGACAAGACCGAAGTTCTCGCAGGCGGCGGAGAACAGGTCCATGCTCCGTTGCATCTCCGCTTCGGAGGTGGTGTTCAGGGCGCAGTCGTCGGCGAAGAGGAGTTCGTGCACGGTAGTTGTGGATACGCGCGATTGGAAGTTCATGCGCCGTTGATTCAGGAGATGACCGTCCGTTCTGTAGGCGATGCGGATTCCAGGGCGTTCGTCGCGGTAGGCGTCCATCAGCATGGCGGAGAACATAAGACTGAAGAGGGTAGGCGCCAGCACGCAGCCCTGCTTCACTCCATTGGTCACTGCGAATGCCTCTGAGACAGCTCCCTTGTCCGTGACTCGCGCCATCATACCGTCGTGCAGCTGACGCACCATCTGAGTGAATCGCTCCGGACAGCCGAATTTCTGCATGATCTTCCACAGTCCTTCACGATTCACCGTGTCGAAGGCTTTCGTCAGGTCCACGAAGGTAGAGTACAGGTGGGTCCGCATCTCCTGGCACTTCTCCTGAAGTTGACGGGCGGCGAAGATCATATCCGTGGTCCCACGATGACGACGGAAGCCGCATTGGCTTTCCGGCAGAAAGCCCTGTTCCTGATGGTTATTGAGGCGGTTGAGGAGGATTCGTACGAAGATCTTCCCGGCGATGTTCAGTAGGGAGATGCCGCGGTGATTGTCGCAGACTTGGCGATTCCCTTTGCGCTTGTAGAGATGCAAGATGGTTGCGTCTTTGAAATCTTGCGGGACTTCACCTTGACGCCACATCTCTTGGAAGAGCGCAGTCAGGTGATCCATCAGTTGGGGACCTCCGTGCTTGTAGACCTCAGCAGGGATCGCGTCCGATCTGGGTGCTTTCCCGCTGGAGAGCTGCTGCACGGCCCTGATGGTCTCCTGGAGAGATGGCGGGAGGTCGAGGTCCAAGTTGGTCTCCACTTGCTGCAAACGCTCGATGGCGGCGTCGGAGATGACGGAGGGGCGGTTGAGGACGCCTCGAAAATGCTCGGCCCATCGCTGCAGGATTTGCGTCTTCTCAGTCAGGAGAGTGTTGCCGTCGGCGCTGAGGAGAGGAGCGGTGCCCTTCGTCGGCGGACCGTAGACAGCTTTGATCGCAGAGAAAAAGTTCTTCCATTCGTTGCAGTCCGCGTACCCTTGGACCTCCTCAGCTTTGCGAGCAGTCCAGGCGTCCTGCATCTCGCGCAGTCGTTGCTGAAGTTGGCGGCGACTGCGGTAGAAGGCAGCTTTGTTGTCCTCAGTGGGGTGATCTACATAGGCTTTGTGTAGGCGGTTCTTATCAGCAAGCAGATTTCTGATGGCGGCGTCGTTGTCGTCGAACCAGTCCTGGTGTTGGCGGGGAGCGCGACCGAGGACGGCGAGCGCCGTCGATTGCACTGTGTCACGCAGTTGACACCAGCGGTTCTCCACGGAGGCGTTCTCGGCAGCGGCGTCATCGGCGATGGGGAGGTTGTCTAGCCGTTGAGCTAGCTCATTGCTGAAATGAAGATGGTGAGCGGGCAAAGACAACAAGGCAACATTCAGCTTACCTGAAGGTCGCTTACCTTGTGGTCTCCTGTGGGGCTGTAGGCGAATACGCATCTTCGAGATGACGAGGCGATGGTCGGTCCACCCATCAGCTCCCGCGATCGCCTTCGTCACCAGCACGTCCCGCTGATCTCGCCTCCGGACGAGGACATAGTCCAGCAGGTGCCACTGGCGCGACCGAGGATGCCTCCAGGTGGCCTTCTCTCGCTCCAGCAGACAGAAGAACGTGTTCGTCAGGATGAGGCGGTGTTCTGCGCAGGTGCGGAGAAGCAGCAGACCATTGTCGTTTGAGCCGCGGAGACCGTGGGGACCCAGCGCTCCTCTCCAGACACTATGGTCTGTGCCGACGCGGGCGTTGAAGTCACCAAGGACAATCAACTTGTCCGCCTTCGACACAGTCGCCAAGAGGGCGTGCAGGTCCTCGTAGAATTTGTCTCTGACGGCGTCGGGGTTGGTCATCGTCGGAGCGTAGGCGCTGATGATGGTGGCGAATTTGCCTCCCCAGAGAGGCAGGCGGAGGCTCATCAGGCGATCGTTGATGCCCTGCGGCAGACTGGGCAGTCGTTTCACGATGTCGTTCCGAATGGCGAAGGCGACGCCCGCGTCCCGTCGCTCTGCCCTGGGTCGACCGCTCCAGAAGAAGGTGTAGCCGGCACCCACCTCCTCCAGTTGGCCTTGTTCGGAGAAACGGGTCTCGCTGAGTGCGGCGATATCCACCTTGTAGCGCGCCAGTTCTCGTGCAACTAGCGCCGTCCTCCGCTCCGGTCGGTTGCTCCTCGGATTGTCTAAAAGGGAACGAACATTCCAGGCTGCCAGAGTGAGCGGGCTTACCCTGCCAGTCTGGTGACAACGAGTGGGGCGACGGGAAGGAGATGGAGAAGAAGATGACGAAGGAGAAGAATAGGCAGAAGAATAGCGGAGGTAGTGGAAGAAGAGGTAGGATGAGGAGAATGAGTATGGTTGTTTATGTTGTTGTTATTGGTATTATTGTTGTTTCGATTTTGATTGTTTCGACCATGTTAAGACGTCTGCGGCCCTGGCTAGCCTGGAGACGGCGTGGTACCCAGCAATGTTTAGGCCACCTTTTCTAGGCCCTTCCCCTCATGGGGGCTGGCAGTGCCATCCCTGAATAGGGCTGCCATGTGCCGTTGTGGCACGGCCGAACTCCACTATGGGACCACGACTTCGGGTTGTAGTGGAGAGCGACTCGAATTCGCCGTAAGCCGCGGTCTCCGTCGGCGAGGGTGGGCGCGTAAAAGCTATGTCGATGTGGAGGTCCATCCCGTCACCGGCTGTCAAGCGACGTGCAGAGACGAACCACGTCACGACGGGGCCGACGCAAGGTTCCATCCGACCTTCCATCCAGCGGAATCCGCAAACCCTGTGCACACGGCACAGCGCACAGGGCCCCCTCACCTGGTTTAGCCCGCCGGTCGAGACGGTTGCCCGGGGTGTGGCCGATGAGCAGAGCCCAGCTACGTGGAGCCACAGGTGAGAGTTGAGTGCCAGCAAGTGGACGCTAGGCGCAGTCTCACCTGCAAGCAAGTGAGCGACCACCACGACCATTACGTGAACCCACCGCTGACAGACCTACACCCCTGAACCCATCATAGTACCTTTTTAATAACATAGTCGAATATATGATTATTCTTATGCGGAAACACGCAACTTGTGGACTGGGATCGCTAAATGATAATTCAACGGCTGATATAACCTAAAATAAGTGGGAAAGTGGGAAACTTTTTCTGAACCTAAATATACGTTTTCTTCAGGTTTAAAATGTAAAAACAATGTTATTTTCTACCAAACAGGTAAACGACAGCACATTTGTGTACATATTTTCCATAAAAAAATATTTGAATTTATAAGACCATAGGAAATCAATGCGAAAAATACATGGTACTAAAATAGTCACTGTTCTTATCAAATGTGGCTTTTATAGGAGGTCGAAGAGATGTGCATTCAAAAGTTGACATCCTGGTGAATCCAAAATACTATGGGATAATGTCGTTTGATAAGCAACATTACAAACCCACTTAAGAAATCCTTCGTCATCGAAAACGCATTTCAGAATTTCGGCCAACATTTTATCAGACCGGCCAAGCACTGTACTTTATTCAAAATGTAATCATATTAAGGCTTCATCCAACATCCAGGTATTCAACTTAACTAGCTGCCCACTGAGTTCGCGTTGGAACCTTACCTACGAAACTACAAGGTGGCCACGTGTGCGACGTTCCATGTGCTACACTACCCTTTTCGCCAGCGCATTATGCTGCTTTCAAATTCCTTTGAAGATGTAGTTAAGCAGTTTCTAGTCACAGGTTGTCTTTTCTCATTTTGGAGAGCGCAAAGCGCGGATGATGAGGGGAAGATTGCATTCTGTCGTGAAGAAGTAGACACGATCGATGGAGTAGGCGCTTTATTTGCCTGACGTTTCCGATTCCTGCTCAAACCCATCATCAGATACAATAGCAAATATTGTCTATTGCTATTGTTTTTGACTACGGGTCTGGGCGGGAATCCGAAACGTCAGGCGAATAAAGCCCATTGTATTCTGTGTATTCCTGCCACAGATCGCGGCCGTGGCAATTTCAGCTGTCCACCCGGGGGCAATTAAAACCGCCTCTCCGGTCGAATGATCTGTGCCTATAAAGACAGTTAAATCATGGGAGGCAATCAACTCCTCCGCTTTCAGTGCAGACGCGAGGAATATGTGTAGGTCTTTGCGGAACTCGTCTTTCACATCATCTTTTTTTGCTGGGGTTGACGGCACGGATGATTGTAACGAATTTCTTCCCCCTTGGTGTAATAGCCTAATCACAACGCGTTATCTAGTTCCCTACCGGAGGCAGGATTAGTTGGCTTTTAGTGCCCTTGTAGCGGCACAGCAGAGAGAATATATGCAGCATGTGAGCTACAATCGTCAGGCCAAATTCCATGTTTGAAGGGAGAAGACAAAGGGGACCAGAATAAGGGGTTTATTGTGCACAGAACCCGGGGTTGTCCTCTCAGGCGACAGTGGCCACTGACGAAGCCGGGGCTGGTGTTGACTGCGTCCAGTCAGGCCTGAGAGTCCTTGAGATAGTGGTGGCAGCCGCTTTTGGAGGCTCGTGGGTCAAGCTCAAGTGGTGTCCAGTCAGTGTGTGTTGCATTTGCCGAGGGGTGGTGTCCCAGTGGCTTGTTTTGCTGGTTGAAGGGGGTGGCGCATTCAAGTGGCCGCATGGGCAGCTGCGACTGCGCGGACGCAGGTATGCCCGAGCTGTTGGTCGTGTGACTTCAGGTCAGCTCGTCTGGGACGGCTCGCTGCAAGGGGTGAATGGCCTTGAGACAGCGAGGTCTTGAACAATGACGCCAGACCGGTCATGATGGCTGGCTGCCACACCCTCTTTGATGGCGAAGGCGTATCCGGCGTCTCATCCTGTCCTACACAGATCTTACCCAGCTGTGCTCGTCCCGAGAAGCGAATGTTAGCAAAAGTCGCGATTACTACCTCATATCCAGCCAGTTCGCTAACCAATGACTCTGTTCTTCGTTTCGTTTGTCCCTAAAACAAGCAATGCAGGGAATGCTCTGGGCCAACAAATGAAATGGGTGGGAATCCACCAGCTATTATCGGAAATCCACGCGCATAACACATGCAAATTTTGTGTGGGTGTGGTGGCACTCCCGTGTGCAGACTCACGTCGCGCCAACGGGGACCAGTGCTACCCTTCCACTTTCTTGTGGTATAAAGTCCTGGTCCGTGTACTTTGTTAACCGTGGCATGTGGTAGTACGCCTAGGTGCGGGCTTTCGCCGCATCAACCACCTGCGTCCTCTCTGGCCTCCGGTCTTCTTGAGGAGGAGGAGGAGGAGGAGGAGGAGGAGGAGGAGGAGGACAGAGTGCGGCAAATGCAGCGCAAGTCTATTACCACTATAAGCTACTCCACGCACAAGTCATCGCGCTTCCTCCCCGCCTGCTGAGGCATGCAGCGAACATCGTCGAAATCGACGGTCGAACCTTCATGCCTATCTATCTGGCCTGACGTAACATTGTCTGAAGGCGAATAAACACCCCACGGTGTCTGAGCGTGATAAGTCACTCTGTCAGACTCAGGAGTAGATGGGAGTTGTTGAGCCGCTCATAGAGGTCGCTTACAGAGACGAAATAAAGGTCGGATCTTATTTCGAAGCCGCACCTGCAGTAGAGTTAGAGGGTTAAGCAGAACCCCTAACACATTACCCTAAAACTAGCCCCCAACTCTTATCTTAACCCTAACCCAAACGCCTAACCCTTGACCCTAACTCTAACCCCTAACACTAACCATAACACCAAGCACAAGCCCCTAAAACTAACCCCTAACCCTAACCACTAACCCTAACAGGTGAGAGGCGAGGAAGATGTGTAGGTCTTTGCGAAACTCGTCTTTCACGTTGTCTTTTTTTGCTGGGGTTGACGGCACGGATGATTGTAACGAATTTCTCCCACGTGGTGTAATAGCCTAATCACTAGGCTTTATCTGGTTCCCTACCGGAGGTCGGATTAGTTGGCTTTTAGTGCCATTTTTGATGGCGAAGGCGTCTCACTCGGCGTCTCACCCTGTCCCACACGGATCTTACCCAGCTGTGCTCGTTTCGAGAACCGAATGTTAACAAAAGTCGCGGCTACTACCTCATATCCAGCCAGTTCGTTAACTAACGGAACTGTTCTTCTTTTTGTTTGTCCTTAAAACAAGCGATAATGTGAATGCGCTGGACAACAAATGAAATGGGTTGGAGTCCACCAGCTATTATCGGAAATTCACACCCATAACACATGCAAATTCTGTGTGGGTGTGGTGGCACTCCCACGTGCGGACTCACGTCGCGCCAACTGAGATCAGTGCTACTTTTCCACTTTTTTGTTGTATAAAGTCCTGGTCCGTGTACTTTGTGGACCAGGGGATGTAGTAGTTAGCCTGGGTGCATCAACCACCTGCGTCCTCTCTGGCCTCCAGTCTTCTTGAGGAGGAGGAGGTGGAGGAGGAGGAGGAGGAGGAGGAGGAGGAGGACAGAGTGCGGAAAATGCAGCGCAAGTCTATTACCACTATAAGCTGCTCCGCGCACAAGTTATCGCGCTTCCTCCCAGGCTGCTGAAGCATGCAGCCGACGTCGTCGAAATCGACGGTCGAACCATCACGCCTTTCTGTTTGGCTTGACGTCACATTGTCTGAAGGCGAATAAACACACCTAACCCCTTACCCAAAACTAACTCCTAACTCCTAACCCTAATTCAAACCCCTAATCCTAGCCCCTAAGTCTAACCCCTTACCCCCAACCCTAACCCATAACATTAAACGTAACCCCGACTAAAAACCCCTCAAATTAACCCCTAACCCGCTAATCCTAACCCTAACCCCTAAACCTAACCCCCAACCCTAACCCCTAACCCTAGCTCCTAACGGGTGCAGCAACGAAATGAGATAGTACCGAAATAAAGCATATGTCCATTTCGTTGACGATTTTGGTGGATTCCGATATGTCATTGTCTATTAACCGCTAAACTGGCGTATCGATTGCATCAAAGTGATCGCGTCACCGCAATGCGAGTTTCTACACATGACACATCGTATTACCCTCTAGAAAAGATAAATAAACTAGCAGGAGTGTCGAAAATTAGATAAGGCGCTGTGTACCCCACTTAAGTGGCCCTTCTTTAGAATGAGATTTGCACAGGCATTCAGGTTGGCGATTAATCAAAGGCGAGCGTGCTCCGGCTTTTGATCGATGCGAGTCCTTGACTAGGCCCTTCATATCTGGTTTTTTTACTCCTGAAGGATGCGCTGAAGCTTTGTTGGCTCTCTGCATTTACTTCACACACGGTTGTGCCCACAAATATTTGAACTCCTCCAACGTTATCATCATTTTAAGTGCTTACCCTAGCACATTCAAATCAGAATTACCTAATTCACATTAGCCTAACATGTAAGAGGTAGGGTCTAGTTTGAAGGCGTTTGTATCTGTGCAGGAAACACTGCACGTTCGGCATTCTGGGGGCCCAAAAGTAGATGAGCAGTTCTCCTAACGACATGCCAATTTGCTGGGTATGAAGAGGGTGTGTGTTATCCCACTGCTTAATCAGTAATACTTAAGCAGATAAGAAATCTAGCCCTAATTTTACTTGTAGTCTTTACCCGTGAAGTTTCTTTCTGTAAACCTTTAATTAAAAGCTGAAAACACTCCCAGTGAGTACAAATCAATTCTTCGCTATTCCATGGAGTAAAAAGTCGTCACCTTGATAGGAAAGAGAGTAAATGTAACCACGTCAGTCAAAGAAACGATCTTGAGAGTTCCAGAGAAATCACTTAACCAAAATGACATCCGTGGAGTTTGAGAGAAAAGGTTTTCCTGTTGAGAAAAAAAACAGCTCTAGAATATATCTTTCTGGAAACAGTCGTAATTGTCTTCAAGTCGGCCAACAAGACAGGAAACCGCTAAATCAGATACTGAGTCCTAACTACAAGACAAAAAGCATTAGAAAACAAAGATAGCAGGAGGATTAAATTGGACGTCTCCAAAAAATGAAAATGATCGGCAAGGGAGTATTTTTCTGTTTTCGTGCCCTAACTTCACCCCAAAGCTTACTTTAACCCCAGCCCTCCTGGTCCTGGCCTTAAAACTGATCCTCATGAACCTTATTCTAACTATAACCCCACCCAACCTACATTCAAATTATACTCATAGACTTAATAACCCTGTCATCAACCTTTACCCTATTTAAAATTTCCTGGAATTTTGGTTAGGGTCACCTGTAATATAGGCGGATACATCTTTCCGTGATCGACTATGAAAACCTCCGTGGCGTTCTGTGAACGGAAGTAACGAATATCGGCGTGTAGCAGACTGATATGAAGGGACGTGCAAAGAGGACGGATATAAATGTTCATGATCGGAAGCATTTTACCCTTTGGGCGTGAGGTCAGACGTGGTTAATGTTATGACAGGGCCATCTATCGATTCACTTGTGCCGTTTGGCAACACATTCGAAGACAAAAGCCATGGGACCAGTTTTGTGGTTTTTGCAACCTAGAACCTGCTCAGGTTCAGGTCACATCACGTTCAGATATCAACCCAACTTAAATTCAGTATTTCGGCGACAACAGCGCAGTGGACAAATACATTTTCGGAAAAAAACTATTTAAAGATCGACTGTAGTAAAAATGAGATTGTCAGGGACTATGTCAAAAGGTGGAGCGGTGTACACCAGGAGAAGTTAATTGTGGTTATCACCTTTTGGATAGGGGGATCTGCGAATAGAACTGTTCAGTCTTTAAAGATGGGTAACCGAAATTCCTACTTGAAACGTCAGAAGCAAAATAAAAATACTCAGGTGAACTCGTCTCTTTACTTGACATTAAAATCTTGTGGACAACACTTCATAATACAGACTAGCAGTGGTCCGGAACACCCCAACAACAAACCTCTGGAGATAGTGAGGCGGGGTGTGGTGAAGTGGTTGAGGCTGGCATACGTGGATGTCTAAACAGGACATGGAAATAGGAACATCCCACCAAAGTAACAAAGGTGGACTTGCGAATAATTCTAGAAAGGGCAAAATGTTCCCCTGTCCTAATCCCAACAATAACCCTAGTATAAAACTAAATCGTTGGCCCAATCTTAACCCTAACCCAACAATAAAACTTAACCCTGCAGGTAACACTTGGCACTACCTTAACCTTAAACTTGATTCCGGCTTACGTTACCGTTCACTTTAAATCTAACCTTAAACCAAATCCATAACTTGATCCTAATCCTGATTTCACTAGAAGTTGGCTCAAAGCCGCCCGTGTTGCAGGCAATTTCTGTCCTCATGTCCTGCTTAGACGTCCACACAGGTCCGTGAAATGTTTACGGCAACCTTCTGATTCAAACCAGACAGAGCTTGTCGAGGTGCGATGGTCGACAGCTCGAGAGTCCCTAGATGAGAAGTCGACGAAGGCAGAATTACTTGGATAGTACGGTGGAGAGCGTATGCCCGGCTCAGCAGGCAGGGGGGGTGGGCAACAATCGGGTGAAGGACACCAAACACATAGTACCAGCCAAAGATGCCTGTCTTACGGGAAAGGTGGTAGTAGGGGTTGTGCTTGCGGGGCTTATGTATGCATAAAGGAATAGCAGAATAAGTATAGATAATTGTTATATTCGGTTTTCGGGAGGGAAGATTTTTAAGCATTGACATATATCAATCGAAATAAGGCAGAACAATTAAAAAAAATAAACATTTAGGATAATATGTGGTTATTTAGCTCTACCTGATGGACGCAATACTGTTGGGGTTTGGGAGAAGGGTTAGGAGTCGGGGAAATTATTTCTTAATCACTCAAAGTACAGCCGCGCATTCCCAATAGCTTTTCTTTTGCATGTAATTACTTGACCTCGTCGCCTGCACGTTCTCCGGCCCCACCTGTAAGAACCCCTATTCCCGCCGACCCCGTATTATAAGTGGCTGGGGTTTGCTTGCTTCGGGTGGGGCTACATAACCACGTCTGACAACATTAAGTGTCTACAACGACCGCTTCTCCATTCTCTGAGCTGAAGCCATTGTAGATAATGCACCAGGCCGTCTACAACAGACGACCCATCCTTTAACAATGAAACACCAAACCGAAGTGATCGTGTCGGACTAAAACCCATTTAAATACGTATAATAGGTATTTTTGTATGCCACAGATGCTTGGGGTCCTTTCCCGATCCTAACTGACGGGTGTATCTGCGTCTGACTCCTCAGCGGTTATGACCAATAGATGAAGAGGAAAATATCGATCGGTGTAATGGTGTTGGCGAGCAGAGGGCTGAGTCACACGAGCGCCAGCAAGCAGTGATTGACAGGCGTGCTAGGCGAACAGAGGGCAGATAAGGTAAGCGGCCGCGCTGGCGACCGCCAGGGCGGGCTACCACAAGCTCACGGCTGATGACAAGACAACCGGGAACTAAATTAACTAGCCCTAGCACAACAGAATTGAATAAACCCAACACTTGATAAAGTCCGTCATTTCAAAACACATCAAGGAATGGGAGCTGCCAACAAACCTCCGTTCTAAAAATAAATTTACTTGCCAACAAAAGCTAACAGGCGGGTTCCAGGAGGCAGCTCCGAGGAAGATGCGATCTCTGGAACAAGACGTTTATTGTCCTGGTGTTTCGGATACTCACTCGAACCCAGCAGGAACAGGCACACGACCACTCGGGTGATGGAAGCAAAGAAGCTTCCGAAACGTCAGCACCAATACACTGTGCCCTCCATGACATCGCATCTTTTTCTTCTTTGTCTTCTTTTTGGGGATGATGAAAGGGGTTAATTTATCTTCCTCAGAGCTTCTGTCTAATGCCTACGGTGTACTGAGGCATGTTTAGAGAACGAGAAGGGGTTTATTCTGTACAGAACAGTCGGATGTTTCCCAACTATGTCGAAGTGGCCTAGACGAGCGTGCTCAATAACTCAGGCGGAACGTGATGCGGGTGATTAAGCCTGTGACAATGGATGAATTCCTCGGCTTTGTCAGGGGTGGAAAAAACTGATGTCCACTTCAGGCGCTGTCAGATCCCCACAGGTTATCGCATAGTGAAGAGTAAGTAGTCACTAAGACGTTTACGGACTGCGACAAGGGAGACTAGGATGCTTGCTCATCTGTCTGTGATCGTATGACAGGCGGGTCGTATCTCCAAACGGCCCGTTTTGCTTGAGCATTAGAGGGCAGAGGTGGTAACTCCGTAACCCGAGAACTACCCGAGTCGTGGTTTTCTGGTCTTCGGTCAATTAACAGACGCAATGACCTCCTCGCTCCATATTCTGTGCGAAGGCTTTG